AACTGTTGTTCAGAGGCGACCCTCTCAATCAGGGGTCTCCAAACGACGGCCCGCAGGCAAGATCCGGCCGGCTGATGGACGCGGCGTGTAATAAAAGACGGCGCCACGAAGCGCACCAAATCCGCAAGCGAAGATACAAGAAACAATGAGAGAAAACTGCATCGAATCGCAGGTTCTCTCCATATATCACACTTTATTGTATACATTGTTACCAGCAGCATCACTATTCGTTGTCCTCTGTTTCATGCTTGTGTAACTATATTATAATTATAATACGTTCTAATGAGTATCGTGCTTAGGATCCTGCGCCATTACCATTACATACTGTCGTCATCCCTCTCATTAGTCTTCTATCCTATGTGAATACGCCAAAGTTCTCATGCGCTTTGATTTATGCCTAGTAGATTTACTACGTCATACTTATTGTATGTCATAATTAGCAACGTATTGCATTTAAAAAATAAAGTATATGCCTCTATCCAGCTCGTAGTAAGAAAAAATATTTGCCCTAGTTTAAGCATTTTAAAGCGCATTTCTTAGGCGCCCGTTTCCAGCTTGAGCGGCCTCGGCGTCGCCGTCGTCGCAACCGCGCGGTACATTATGGGACGCGTGACGTCACTGATGACCCCATTAATGACGTCTTTTGTGACGTTATCGGCATCGGCATCATCACTGATGACGTCATCAGTGACGATGCCGATGACGTCATCAGTGACGATGACGATGCGGATGCCGATGACGTCATCAGTGACGTCACTGATTACATTATCAGGGACGATGACGATGCGGATGCCGATAACGTCATCAGGGATGTCACTGATGACGTCATCAGGGACGATGACGATGCGGGTGCCGACGACGTCATCAGGGACGTCACTGATGCCATCATCGTCACGTGACCTCATAGGGGTCACGTGACCTCGGTGACGTCACTTGACCCCCATGAGGTCACGTGACCCTTTTGAGACGACGGCGACGCCGCTCGGAGGGAGGAGTAGCAGACAGGATGAGGAGGTGAGGAGGAGGGAGAAAGGATATACCTCCCCCTCAGTACCCTTCCCCTCCTCCTCCTCAAGAGCTGCGCTCTAACCCGGCGTTACAGGGTGTTGTAAACGGCTTTCATTGTTATATTTAAATGCTCATCTATGTTTTTTTATTGAGTATTTCCTCATTTATATTGTTTATCGATTTTCGAGACTGTGAGAGATCCCCGATGTGGCCCTTTAGCCAAAACGTATATAGACCACGGGTCTAAATAATGCGCCCGCTTTTAAAGCGATAGCTTTATATCGTACTTCAATGCACCTGATCCTTGCTATTGCCGGAATGACAGAATGACGTCGAAATGTCACGTAACGTCATGGCGTCATGTGAATTTCAATTTCCAAGCTAGATTAATTGGGGAAATTGACATCACGTGAGCTGAAGTTACATGACGAGGTCACGTCAAATGACTCTGGGTGACACGTGACTTGACGTTGGGTCATGTGACATGACGTGACGATAGGTCATGTGACATAAACTTTTCCGCTAAATTTACAGGCGAAAATATGACGTCACTGTAACCTCAAGTGAAAACGGTGTCGCATGATGCTATGACCAATGCCATGCGTAACCATGTCACGCGAAACCTTGATTTTGTCGCCAAATTTAGCGGCAAAATTAGTGTCAGGTGATCTGACGTCATGAGATGTAGGTCACGTGAAACCATGACAAGGTGTCATCTGGTCACGTCATGTGACCTCAGGTCATGACGTTAATTTTGCATTGAAAACCTTGGCAAATGCCATCGAGCCGTCATTGCATTTGATCAAATGTTTAAGGGAAGGGGGGGGGCACCTTGTAGTTGATGTGAGGCCCTAGATTTATGCCGGTCCCGCTACGGAAACAAGCACCTGCACAATGCTTGCGAAAGCGTCTACTTGCGAGAATTGTTTGCTGCAAACTACGTCGGTCGAGGAGATCTTCCGCTAAACACGTCGGTGAACGCGAAACCACTCGCACTCACAAAAACAGGCCAGCTCAACTAGCTACGCGGGCACTCGCCGCAAACGCTGGCAGCCGTGTTTGTTATCATTTGGGACCAAAGCGGAAAAGGCGACCTCATAATATTTTTGAAAACAATAGTGATTCTATGTATAGTTTGTTTCTCAAACATAAAGAAACGTCAAATAAAAGACTATCACGGCCCGGGGAAATGATTTTACGACGAACATTCAACGCGTCAATTATCTCTCCAGGGAATGAGAACTGGCTACCTCCACCAAAATTTCGTCGTAAATATTGCACCCCCGAAAATTACGTGAAAACCCTTACAAATCAAATATGTGCTCAAAAAGCCCTTTCAAATTTTTTTTTTATTTCAGTGTTTTTTTTAAGGTGTTTTAATACTTCCTGCTACCTTTATAGTTTGTATTGTAACTCATTTTTGAGTCCGTGTTTTTCAGTCGGTGAGAAAAGAAATCACCGCCGGCATATCGTTTACACAAATTTTGATTACTTCTTTTCCGTATGCCTGGCTTGATTAGTGTTGAAATCGCATAGCAGTGCTACAAATTAGCCCGGCCTCCTTTCGTTTTTTTCAGTTAATGAAAGTGTGACCTAAAATTGGAGCAAATAAAAATAAAATATATTTTGTCAACTGAAAAAAATTTTTTTAGTCATTTTCACACTCTAACCACCTACACAACAGGCGTGGCGTGAAGGAGGTCAACATGAATGTGTCAAATGATTAGAGAGTTCGCGAATATATAATTCTGAATTGCAGTATATTCACACGTAATAAGCATGGAGTTTCCAATTATAAATCATAGCATATTATGAAGCATTCACTGCGTGTAAATTCATGTTTGTTTTTTATAGGGGCGAATCAACCATGGTTGTGAGCATTCCGATAGTTACAGACAGGGATGGACAGTATTTCAAATAAAAGTATTTGAAATACGTATTTCAAATACTTTGTGTATTTTGCATTTGTATTTAATTACAAATTGGGTAATGTATTTGACGTGTGTATTTAAATACTAAACTGTGGGTATTTCAAATACAATTGTAATTAAATACAATTTTGTGGGCGAAAATACATCCCTCAAATTCATTGTTACAGTCCAGAACAGGAAGAAAACTACGCTCTGCACCGAATGCAGTGTCTCTCAATCAAGCACAAGCCTTTAGGTCCAGGGCAGGAATAGTGACAAAATTGATGTTCACAGGCAGACTGGCTAAATAAGTGCCTGTGACAACTTGTGATGCTTTACAGCCTGATTTCCATCCATATTTTTGTCTGGAATATTCTAAATGCACGGGTCGTCCAGATTTTCGTAACTGGTGTGAGTTGCAACAATAAAACAATTCTCTAGCTAGTGCTGCGCGTCTTGGTCGTCTCGGTTCTTTGTTGGTCTATACCAAAATGTAATCGACAAAAAAAAAAAAAAACCTGCTTGAAGCTCTGTATTTTTTTCACCTAATCCGACCAAGCTGATTACATTTTTTTTTAGATCATATTTCTATTTCGTTACTAAAGCCTCGCACACTAACTCCCGAGTGTGCGATGCAAAATTAAAATGAGATACCCAGAAACTCGTTGTAGGTGCCCTAAAGTCGCTGACGCAAATTTTGAGGAATGTATTTGGAGAAGTATTTGGAGGAGACCAAATACTTTTGGTTGTATTTGTATCTTGTACTTAAATGCTTTATTGGAAATGTAATTAGATTTGTAATGAAATACATTTTTGACGAAGTATTTTGTATTTGTATTTTGATACATATTTGCATGTATTTTGCCCATCCCTGGTTACAGACTATAGTTGCTGCCAGGGTACGTGCTTGGCAACGCACCATGCTTAGCAACATTAGTATTAAAAGGCTGAGCCTTAATCTTTTAAATATCTCACTGTTAGCCCCTCCATACCTCCCCCAACTAATGATGACCGTCTGACATCTGGTTATGACATACACAGTACACGTTAGTATTTCCTTTTTTGCAAGACTTCTTTCTCTCTCTCTCTTTATGTTTTGAATATAAGGTAGATGTTAACTGTATTTGTATATATATATATATATGAAAAACTAGCTAGCTGGAGCGATTTGCCGTCATAATTTGAAGGGTCAGCCATACGCACCCACCCATCGCCTCGAAGGGGGCGTTCCTTTGTCTAGAAGTGTGCAGGGTACAGAAAGTCTCCTGGACTCCCCTGGGGCGAGCGCCTACCATGGACTCCTTCACGTCAAATCCTTCAATATTACTGATTGTTTTATACTCCTAAAGTTTTGTGTATGGTTTCTTCCAGGGAAATCCGTGATTCGTGTTTTTATCTGGGTTGGGCACGCAACAAGGCGGCCTCTCACATTGTGCATTCCTAAATTCGGGAAAGTTTTTTTAAATGTACCTATGTTTCCCAAATTGTGGTGAGATCTCTGCATACACAAGTCTACGATATATTTCTGCTTTAAAAGAACTCCGTATGTAGGTTATTTTTTTCTACAGATATGCTGGTGCGATTAAGTCAGAAAGCGACTGGCGTTAGTTAGTTATTTCTTTTATATATTAAGTTAAAATTACGTTTCACATTTCACTAAGTGTCCTTCCATCAGTTTTTTTAGAATAGGGATTCGACAAATATTTTCAAATGACTCTTTCACGGTAGTGTAATTGCGTTAAAATATGAGCTGATCAAGATATGCGTATTCACGGGACATGACACTCTTGGAGGTTGTCCGTAGCGCGGGCTCAGAAATAGCTACTATTTATCGTCTGCCAAGAAAAAATATATCAATTTAGACTATTTTCACGATTATACTCGTTCAACGTGCCTTCTACCAAATTAGGGTGGTGGTTATGGAAAGACAATGAATGGGAGGTTATGCAAATGTCCTGCGAATACCCTAGAATGCCCCTGTAGCTCTGCTGCCAGAAGCAAAGCAACCAGTTAAAAATGAGTGGGACGTTTCGGATAGGTTAACAGTCTGCTGGTCCGCCCTTGGTCCCGGGCTATTCGCAGTGCTGGACGCGAACAGCAAGATTCCATCGGGCATTCTGGAGGGCACTGTGACCGATCTGGGTGACTACGACCAGTGCCTGTCCGTCAGGTTCCGAAACCGCTTCAACGAAGACCTCGAGGACTTCCGAGGCCGCTACTGTGGCTTGGCCCTCAAGATGCCCCTGCCGCCCAAGCCAGAAGTCATCGCTAAGAATACGCGAATCATCGAGCCCGAGTTCTTCCCCGAGTCTCATGTACGTATGCATCGTGCCGTCTATGGACACTTCACGTCTCAAACGGCATCGAAGACGGAACACTCTAAAAAACGATATGTTTTTAGTCTTTCGTAGAACACAAAGGCAGCCAATCCCGGCAAGCACAAAAATTTAAGAAGGATCTTAACGAAGTAAAACGCTCAGAATGCAATTATATCTCAGCATGTGAAACGTCATGCCAATTGTTCCTGCGCACATTGCAAGTTTTGGTGTAATCATATTCTGAGCTCGGTCATTCGCTTGGATTCTTCTTTTGTTTGTCATGATTGATTGTCATTGTGTTCTGCGGGAAAGTTTTTTAGAGTGTGGTATTTCTTTTAAAATACACTGTAATATACACAGAGAAAAAGGCTTATTTGATGGTCAGCCTTCAAATAAACTGTCAAACGAACGCTGAGGTCCGGAAAAATACAACCGAATCTCCATTAACACCTTAATATTTTTGTAGTATATATCAATATCTAGTGACTCTAGTGGCCATGTCATTAAAAGAAGCGTTCATTTCCTTGTTTTTGGTTCTGGGGGTATCTCTTCATATAATATTGTTTCCATAATGTGTAAACGTTGTCACGACACAACCTGCGCAAAAAAAATAAAAGCAGAAAAAAACAAATCATAAAAAACTTTTGCTATGAACTTACTAAAGCAACTCAAACTAAAAACTAACATTCGTCATACTTTCCTATGTTCGCGTGATTTCAGCTTGCTCAGTAAGTTTAAAAAATAAATTAAATAAAATCCAATTTAAGAAAAGGCCCAGCGCCAAAATTACCGAAATAAATTGAGCCTTGTCCGCAATGACCAGAAAACCAACATGGGATACCTTTATTAGTATATTAAATCCTAGAAACCAAAACACCCTTCTGAAATAAATCTTAATCAATGGAATCTAATCGATGCATGTCGAAAAGGTTGAATCAATAAATTCGCACTAAAATATTAAGGTGGGCTAGTTGGATATGCATTTTCGAAATAAATAGCGCGAAGGTCAAGAACAAACTGAAGGTACAAGCGCTAACTCACAACTGTCGCTTTAATGATCACACAGAAGACGAGAAAGAGGTAGCGTTTCTCTCTCGTCTTTCTTTTCGGTATGAAAATTCCCAAAATGAAACGGTCTTGATGGAAGAGGAAGTTACGTTGAAGGAACTGAGAAATAACAATAAAGGAAGAAGACGTTACGTTAAAAAACTGAAAATTAGCAGAAAGAAAGGAAGAAGTTGTCCACAGTGAACCAAAGAAACCACCCTAAGTAGGAAAGTTAAGGTAGTTGAGTTCTTTTTCAGTCAATGCTACTGATGGTGCACTGACACACGATTTCTCCTTTCCTTTTATGGCCAGTGCCTCGTATATTTCCCTTGTTGTCTTCTCACGATACCTTCGAAGGATCCTTGTCTCTGTAAGTTTCGGCTTGCAGTGACAGTCTCTTACGTGCACTGCAAGATGCCCCGATGGTGTTGATTTGAGTGACGCAGCGTGTTCACGTAACCTGGTGTTCACACACCGGCCAGATTGACCAACATATACTCTGCCACAGGTGAAAGGGATTTCATATATAACCTGGCTTTGGCAAGGTATATATGTTTGCTTGTGCCTCTGACCGCATTCGTTGCGGCGGTCTAGTGGGGAATTTATCACAGGACAAAGCTTCCTTAGCTTGTCTGGTGCTGAAAAGACGACAGGGATGTCATACCTGGCAGCCACCTTTTTCATGTTGTGTGATACCCGGTGAATGTAGGGTATTACAGCCGGGCGTTGTCCTTTGTTCTTGGCTTTGTCTTTCTGTCTGTGGATGTTGATCATTTTTTCTGCTACATCGTACAAGGTGGGACTTGGATAACCAGAGGTCTTGAGTCGGTTTATCTGTGTCTCAAAGCTCTGTCTTGCCGTGTGGTCACATGACTTTTTTAGGGCTGCGCTAAGAGAGTTTTTGATTATAGCCATTTTAATGAGTTTTGAATGGGAGGACTCATATTGGAGTAATTGTTTTCTTGAGCGTGGCATGTACATCCAGCAAGTGTGGTTTTGTTGGAATATCATCTGTAGATCAAGAAATTGAAGGCTGTCGCCTGTCGGTAGCTCGTGTGTAAAGTTGAGTCCTTGTGCGTTTTCAGTGAAGATTGAACGTATATTGTTGATTTGTTGCTCGTTATTTACATCAGGTCTGTTTTTTAGTAGCACGAGATAATCGTCCACATATCTGTATATTCTTGTCACCTGGTTGTTGGATACCCGCTGGGCGATGGCCCGATCGCATTTGGATAAGAAGATGTCGCATAACACTGGTGCCACACATGATCCAACACAAATTCCTTTCTTTTGCAGGTAAGTATTCCCGTTGAATGAGACGACTGTGGATGCTAGGTAGAATGTCAGTAACTCCAAGAATGACTCAAGATGTACGCCAGATTTGTTTTGGAAAGGCACTGTACCATTTTCTTCGATACATTCTTTTACAGCTACGAACAGTTGGTCATGAGGTATTGAATAAAACAAATCTTCCACGTCAAGGGAAAAACCATATTGTACTAGTACGTTGTCATTTTTTAGATCCTGTATAACTTGTTCTGAGTTTTAAATCAGGAACGGATCTTCCAGGCGGAGGTTTGATAACTGACTAAATAGGAACCTTGACATAGCTCCTTGCCAAGAACCTTTTTCAGTTACGACCACACGGAAGGGACATTCCACTTTGTGTGTTTTAGCCGTAAAGAACATATCCAAAACATCTTTCTTGGATGCGGTAATCTGCTTTTTCAGATTTGTTAACTCAAGCTTGAAGCACAGTTGAAGTGCTTTAGCTTTCACTTTTTTGGTCTTTTTATCTTGCAAATAGTTGAAGTTCTTTTGTATGGCTAAAGTCGCCTTTTGTAAATACATATTGGTGGGGCATACTACAAATCCCCCTTCCTTATCTGAAACTAGGAGATTCAAATTTTGTGTTTTGAAATAATCGACCGCTCTAGGTCTCATTATCTTGTTCTTAGCATGTCCGGATTTCGGCAAAACCTCAACACATTCATCAATACATCTGGTCCTGTCATTTTCCGGAGCTTTCGCAGCAATGTCGCGTACAGTCGACAGCATCTGTACTCCCTATATGTGCGGAGCCGTACAAAATTTGGGGCCTTTCTCCAGGACCTTTTCAATGTCTGCGGGAAGAGAGGACTCGCCCAAAAATCTGACCGGCTCGCCTTGGTGTCCCTTCTGTTTGGCTCGTAGATATCGTAGGTGTGGTATGTAGGTCTTCCAGAGAGATTCTGTCATCCTGGTTGAAGTGTGGAGAAAGGACTTGTATCTTGATTCATGGTTGAAACCGGAGGCATCCGTGTTTGCTAGCAGCCACAGGCACTCACGGTAAAACCTAACTTGTCTCCACAGTTCTCGTGCTACTAAAAAACAGACCTGATGTAAATAACGAGCAACAAATCAACAATATACGTTCAATCTTCACTGAAAACGCACAAGGACTCAACTTTACACACGAGCTACCGACAGGCGACAGCCTTCAATTTCTTGATCTACAGATGATATTCCAACAAAACCACACTTGCTGGATGTACATGCCACGCTCAAGAAAACAATTACTCCAATATGAGTCCTCCCATTCAAAACTCATTAAAATGGCTATAATCAAAAACTCTCTTAGCGCAGCCCTAAAAAAGTCATGTGACCACACGGCAAGACAGAGCTTTGAGACACAGATAAACCGACTCAAGACCTCTGGTTATCCAAGTCCCACCTTGTACGATGTAGCAGAAAAAATGATCAACATCCACAGACAGAAAGACAAAGCCAAGAACAAAGGACAACGCCCGGCTGTAATACCCTACATTCACCGGGTATCACACAACATGAAAAAGGTGGCTGCCAGGTATGACATCCCTGTCGTCTTTTCAGCACCAGACAAGCTAAGGAAGCTTTGTCCTGTGATAAATTCCCCACTAGACCGCCGCAACGAATGCGGTCAGAGGCACAAGCAAACATATATACCTTGCCAAAGCCAGGTTATATATGAAATCCCTTTCACCTGTGGCAGAGTATATGTTGGTCAATCTGGCCGGTGTGTGAACACCAGGTTACGTGAACACGCTGCGTCACTCAAATCAACACCATCGGGGCATCTTGCAGTGCACGTAAGAGACTGTCACTGCAAGCCGAAACTTACAGAGACAAGGATCCTTCGAAGGTATCGTGAGAAGACAGCAAGGGAAATATACGAGGCACTGGCCATAAAAGGAAAGGAGAAATCGTGTGTCAGTGCACCATCAGTAGCATTGACTGAAAAAGAACTCAACTACCTTAACTTTCCTACTTAGGGTGGTTTCTTTGGTTCACTGTGGACAACTTCTTCCTTTCTTTCTGCTAATTTTCAGTTTTTTAACGTAACGTCTTCTTCCTTTATTGTTATTTCTCAGTTCCTTCAACGTAACTTCCTCTTCCATCAAGACCGTTTCATTTTGGGAATTTTCATACCGAAAAGAAAGACGAGAGAGAAACGCTACCTCTTTCTCGTCTTCTGTGTGATCAATAAAGCGACAGTTGTGAGTTAGCGCTTGTACCGTGAGTTTGTTCTTGACCTTCGCGCTATTTATTTCGAAAAAACAATAAATTCGCATTTTATAATTGTCTTATCATGTACGATATTGATATGAAAGCGCATGAAATGAAAATGCAAAATGTTATGAAACCTTATATAGTTGGTAGAAAGCGGAATTTGTCTCAATTACATAGAGCTTGCCAATATTACATCATTTCATTAGGGTCAGCAAATAATATATATTAAAAGCCGATTTATCTATTGCGAAAAATTCTAACTGCCTGCTTATAGACCTCACAAAACCCTTTTTAACCATTCCGCATAATATTTTAGTCTAAACACTTGAGCACCTGACAAGGACCATGTCTCGCTTTTGTTAGTATAAAATAGTTAAAACAATCTGCAACACATGAACATTAAAAAAAGGATTGCAATTTTCCATTGGAAATGTCACTCTCCCGATGACAACCGACATTCTTGCGCTAGCCAGCTTTTACGCCGACACCTCGACGCTCGCTTCTGCATTCTCGACGCTCGTTCTTTCTTTTAATTCTGGCGCAAGTTCGCTGTTTTAAACTGTATCTTCAGTTTGACGCGCGTCGATCCTTTTCCATCCGTGAAAATATTTGAAAGCGAATTAATAGAACACCTACGGAGCATAAATCCCTGGGCGTGCTGTAGTCAACATACGCACGACACGTTATTATACTGAAGTCGAAATATTTCAGCTATGTGTCGTGTTCGTAAATCTTTAAGAAACTTGTCGTGGTGACTCATTGAAACTTGTTATTACTCCGTATTTTTTTCATAAGTATGCTACTAAACTCTTATTCAGGGTACAGGGATATTGTATTATAACAAAAAAACTAACTCTACGAAACAGTTATACGAATGCGGTCACAAATAGCCCGCATAAATATTTAGAACAATAAAACAAATAACCTAAATAAACTATACCCCGTTTCACCAAGACTCAACTCGACGAACTGTTTAAGTTACGGCCCTCGCGACCCAATAAGAGCTTCGGAGCTAGGCACGTGACGTTACGTCACGGGAGCGCTTGTGTCACTGCGCCAAATGCTAGGCCCGGAGGAACCGGCTGTCGTCTGCTGCGAAGCCAACCCGCTTCGGATGAACGTCCACCGCCGCAACATTGCCGTCCGCTAGAGTAGCGAGCTCTTTGAGAAGAGTTCATGAGACAACCATACCCGCGAATCTGTGGCGGGTGCTAATGCCAGAACTACGTTTTAAGCGAAAGTGATCGATTACAGTGCTGCGACCGTTCAAATATCGTAAAAAAACCAAGTTGTTCTCGGAAAAGGGTTGACACGATTTAAGTATACTTGAAAAGCAACACGTCTTCGTCTTTCTTCCGTGTCGTGTAGCGCAGTGAAGATAGAGATGCAATCACGCGAGTTTAGTTAAACATAAAAAGAACCCTAGAACTACTTTTTGTTGCGAACGGCGTTGTTGCTGTGGCGGTAACGAGGCCTCCGTGGCCTCGAGCATGGAGTGTTGTCAGGTGTCATGGGGGTCGCAGCCTCCACAATTCGCCATGTTATCATGAAACGAACTGTATACGCAATCATTCCTTGTGTTAAAAAAATGATGTAAAGGCATAGTGGTCTCGACATGAAGTTTCAATACACCTTGAATCAGTTATCATTTGAATAAAAAGTGTTTTGTAGAGTTCCTGCTATAATCAATGTTGTAACCCAAGCTACTTGTGCCATCTCCTTACGTACACACATTCAACGCATACTCTTGCATTTTTTTAAATATATATCTCGCACTGTTTATTTTCTCATGTATACATTTCTTTGAAATCATAAATATTCGTGTACGCCTTCATTTATTTGTGAATAGTTTACGACTGCATTGTTGTAATTTTGTACGTATACATTTCCACAGTATCGTGAAAAGACCGTTATGTGCTTTTTCTAGTAATTTCACATCGGCCTTTGGATTTAAAATTCTTTACCATCCATATGAACTCCAACGGACCAGTGACGCTTTAGGCTTGATAGCAGTGCCCCTTCCTTCAAACCCTCCTTCCGAAAAAAAAAGAGTAATATAAAATATACCGGGGAAGTACAAAGCACGACAAAGCTAGCCCAAACAAGCGATCGGAGATTTTCCGTGTTTTATTTTCTTAACATTGAAACGATACCATCAAGATTACTTCGCGATAGGAAGAGCTCGTTAGGATACCAAGTTTTGCGGTAAAATGTTGCGCTTGTCAATACATTGCCAACAGCAAAAAAAAAAAGAAGAAAAGAAAAGAAAAAAAAAACAACACGCTTATGTTGTGTTTGGGCTATCAGTGTCACACGGTGTGCCTGGTCCCCAGCAATGACTTTAATCTCGTTCCATTGAATTTTATTTCAGGTGTTCCGAGAATTGGCAGAGAAGTCACATAATTTTTATCACACATTCTTCCGTTTCGGCCTCTGCCTGCCTAGTCATTGCTCTCGGGAAGACGTGGAAAAGCTCGTTTCTCCAGGTGAGTGTCCATGTCTTTTCAAGGCTGGTTCGGATATATTTGCAATTAACTCTGGTCGACTGCGTACCAACCGATCATTACCGCATACGACGACAAAACCCGCTGGCGCCATCTGTCCTGTAGCCCTCGAAAACTTCCGACCTGAGCCCATTTTCCTTTATTTGAAAGCATCTTTGCTTTAACATGTGTTTTAAATAATTCTGAAAATGCTATAAGCGATCATTTCTCCATATGTAGCGCGTAGATTTTATCTGCGAAACCTTCAGTCTAGTTACCGCAGAATCTCCTGTATAGATACCGCAAAACCCCCAGTCTAGTCATAGGCAGATCGAAATTGTTTCCAAAGCTTAAAAAAAACAAAAAACACCATCTTTGATTTTTTTTAAATTTGAGTACCCTGTCATACTCTATTTCACCATTCATTTCTGTTAAAAACGTGTTGAAATATTTTTTTGAGAAAGAAGACATAACTCCCCAAAGTAGAGTCCTTTTTCAAAGCCTGCACTTAATAATAATAATAATAATAATTTGTTTATTTAATGTGTCCAAAAACAACCACGCGGGTCTTCATATTGGCGCACACAAAACAAAAGAAGAAACACAGCACACGCACAGCTTAAAATGTACAAATTAGCATGACAACAAATAGGTCCCACACTTCAAACAAAATGTAATAGTATCAACTTTTAACTAGACTTCCCAAGTTCCGGCGAAAAACTACGAGATCTGTGAAGATGTCCAAGCTAGACAATGCGATTGTATTAAATGAAATTTGCATACGGGACAGTGGTGAGAGTTTAGACATGAATTTAGTATAAAAGACAGTAAAATTTCTGGTAACGCGACAAGGAACATGAAAATCGACAGAATTCAAAACTTGGTTAGCATCAGTCCAACCATTTACCACCCTGTGCAAAAAAATCAGATCACGCTCAAATCTTCTATTTGACAAAGACTTAAGTAAAACGCTCTTAAGAAGAAATTCATAATCATAATAAAAGCGACGCTGAAAGTGTCTATCATATAGAATGCGTATCATTCTTTTTTGCACTGATTCAATACTTAAAGACTGTGTACTTGTTAGAGAATTCCAAACAACAGAGGCAAATTCAAGCCGTGAACGAACTAAAGCACAAAATAAACGAATCATACAAGCAGGGCGTCTGAACTTTTTAGTTATACGAGATATGATACCAAGAGTTTTCATCGCACGGCCAACAATAAAGGAAACATGAGCGTTAAATGACAATGCGCTATCAAGGCACACACCGAGATCTTTCATCACAGTCACGCGTTCGATTGGAGTTCCTCCCAGAGAGTAGGTAAAATGCATAACAGTGCGTCTTCTGCTTAAAGAAAGAACCTTAGTTTTGGAAGGATTTAGGAGTAAATTATTCGCCAAAGACCATTGCAGTATGTTGTTCACTTCGTGCTGAAGAGCATTACAATCAAGAGGAGTAGCAACGCGCATAAAAATCTTAAAATCTTAATAGCAGTGCCTTATACGAGAAGTGACTCTGAGTTCCAGTTTCATGAACCTAACACACATCGTTCATATATTTTTATTCAGATGAGGTCATTGACAACTAGGGCATTTGGTCACACAGTAAAAGTGAGAAAAAACGACTGCGCACAAAGAGCGATCGTAATACGAACTAGTGATCCGAGAAAATATCCTGCAGCCATCGGCCTACTGGGAACTTTGTTTATACCTACGACACTATTGGGGAGCAGGACAGACCGTGACGCCCCAAGCGGTTAACTTTACAACTACACGGATGGGGACAACAAATACAATGACGCAGCGCTCGGCCGACACTACCGAACGCGGCGTCAGCGTTCGGCTGGAGTTCGTATTCTCCGATGAGGGGGAGGAGGGGCTCTATTGTTTCCACTACGGCCTGCATGAACGATGCAGCACGCACGGTCCCAGCTCAAAACAAAAGCCGAATAGGGTCAAGCTCGCATACTCTGTGGATAGATCCGACACTTAACGTCGCTTCGTCGATTGTTAGTATTTTTTACATTAAACTGTGCCCCGCGCTCTATTGTAGAAGATGACATGGACATGCCCATAAGGCCTGTCGGCATATGCACAAGCCTTGTGTTGAGTAAACACCGAGCGTGGGGAAAACAAACGGGTCAGAGCGCCCCCTATAGTTCGATCTCCTGCCCAATGTGCTCCTCTCTTCCCCATCTCCGTCTCACTCTCTCTCTCCTGTATACCCCTGACTTATATCTAGAATAAAAACATATTCAAGCATTCCCTTTCTGCGTGATAGTGTTCTGTGGCTAGTAACAATAATTTCCTCGCGAAGATCACCTAGTGGCTAGAAACGGAAACTGTCGCGGCAGTTTCGCTCGCCAACTTTGCCAAGCGAATCACGTATTGACAGCGCTTGGCGGTCTAGAAACGAAGTCGCGAAAGTGGGTTCGAAAGCATGCGGTAAAAATCGCCAATAAACCACAGCAGCCAATGAAATAGCCACCAACTTGAAACCGATTAATGGAGTCCGCCGTTTTGAAGCACCTGAGACAGTCACTGACGAGGCGAGAGCGGCAGGGAGGAGCCTCAGTTGAGCCACCTAACAGCGCGAGCGTCCTACCTTCAACAACTCTTCAGTGTCTTGTGCACCTCGAGCGCTCGCGCGCGCGTCCAATGTAACGCGAACGCATAGCCTCCTTTATATTGACAAAGCCTGGCAGAAATAGAAAAGCTGGAGCGGCAGACAACGGATGACAGGAGAGTCACGTGACTGGCGCCCCGCTGCGGCGAGACGCCGAAACACACCTTTCCCGAGCGAACAAGTGTGTTTCGGGTCCTCGCCGCTGCAAAAGATGTGCGCTGACTTCCAGGTTCCCCTAGAAATGGCTGTTTGATGCTCTGTGCTACCAGATCTTCACGCTCCCAATCTGCAACCGGGCACCTTATGGCCCCGTCGTCAAACTGCCAAGCTTTGTGAGTATAGAGGAGGCTATGGCGAATGTACTGGAGCGCATGCTAGAGGCAGGTCGTTAAAACGTTAGGCTCTGTCCTTTTCATTCTGTCAGGGGCTTTATAAAGCTAATGAACATGCGTATATCACAGGTTCGGGTTCTCACGATTCCGGACACCCTAACATCAGGCGCGAATAATCTTCGGTTCTGTTTTCGAATATCGAACATAAAGATTACCATTACGAAAGTGTTAGGCCTGATTCTTTTATTGTTGTTTCAGTTAAGGAATTGCTAAACATGGAGACATCTGTACTCAACTGCGACGTTCATCAGGATTCGAAGCCTCTCAACAAGGACCAAGTGATATCACTGTGAGTCACAATGTTTACACTTAAGGGGGAACACCAACTTCAACTGTTGGCTTCTAAACCAGTCGCTCAATATTGATGAAATTTAAAGTCTATTTATCTCGTTGCCTAAATGTACTGCATGACATTTCATCTCTGTAGGGAAATTTGCCGATAAGCTGCAGGGGGAGGTACACGCCTATTGATGTAAGTTGCTTCGCTTGGCAAGGAATTCTATGATATAAAATTGCTGCAAATTATTGAGCATTTCTAAACTTCAACCATAACTAGAACACATGGAGAGGTGAGGCTATTCATATTTAACCCTTAAATCTGCGCTATTTTCTGCAAAATGACAGTTTGAAAAGCATTCCCCTTAGTCTGGCAACTTCTTATCATCAAAACCCTACTTTTTGTCAAAAAGATCTCCATTTAAATAGAAAAATAAACATCTAGCCGGATTTCTCAATAAATGTCAATTCAGAAACATCCACAGCGAAATTAAATTCTGCAATTCATTAAAGTGACAAATTTCCTAAAATGAAAGATGCTGCAAAACAGTGAAACAAAGAAAACCTATTCGATGTTTCCACACCACTGTATTTGAATTTACTGTTGGTGGTAGCACCTTAATGTTACCGAGAGCATAGGTGGTGCCCTCTGTTTGCACCCGATTTCCTGCATGGCCTTGCTGAGCAAGTCTGAGCTTAAAGCACTTTCTTCAAATGCTATTTTGTTGTCGACATGTGGATATTGATTATGAAACGATTGAGCAATTGGATATGCTTGCAATAGACAAACCAGCGTCAGCAATTATGAACAGGACAAGCATCGTCGAAATATAAAGCAGACAAATTTATGTTACGTTTTATAAACGAATGTTGGTTTTAGCTAGTTTTCTGTTCAGTCGTGGCACGCTTTGAATTCTTGGGCATGTGCATAACCTCTTCCACTGGAAAGTTGGACTTTTATGGTGTTCTTGTGCGAATTGTGTTTACTCTCGAACAAATATGCTTAATGTACTAAAACTGAAGAAATGCTCTTTTCATCAAGAGTATAATCAACATTCTAGGGCGTGCCGGTGTAGTGCTGCAGCTATTAGAAAATAAGAAACAGAAGTTTTACATTTCTAAAACATGATTTAGCATCGTCGGCTTGCCGAAAATGTGTTATTTCTCCGTAATAATTTCAGATAGTGTGCACTTAGTTGTTGAATCACATTAAATAAAAATGGGAAAAGTATTTTTTTGCTAAAAAATTTCAAATTTAAGCTTTTGCCCCCCCCCCCCCCCTTAACTTTTTAAGAAGTATAAAATGAGTATTCTATGGCAATAGCGTTGCCAACAAAAATAAGCTCTATTGTATAAACTTTTTTTTTGTTAAGACGTCACAAAATATAGCATCCATTGACGTTACTAGTAGCTTCAAATATTGTCTTCAAACTACGAACATACCCGGAAAAACTCACAGTCGCCTCCATTTCATACAGAGGTAATTTAAACCGTATCTCTCGACTTTCTGGATGCTTAAACTTTCGGTGGGCTATATCAGTAACCTCAATCTACCTTAAGTTAAAAGCAGGTGTAAGTTAGTTACACTTCTTTATTTACTCATTAGAAGTGTGTACTCCTTTTACAGAGATCATACTTCAAATTTCATACATAAAAATGCTTTCAAGCTTTTCAAGAAAGTAACTTTATGTTATCATCATAGACCGGAACGTGACGGGTGAAAGAATCATTAATTCACTGTCTCCGACCAGAGCACATGTCTGCCTCTGCCGTATGCACATGAACAGAAAACCTCGTCTTGATATGACAGATTTCAGTCTTTTTGGTTCACCTTTCTAGCTTTTTATAAATACATAGGGTCAGCTCCTAGGGTTTTTTTTTATCGCGAATGTAGCTACGGTGATATCACAATGTCATGTGACACAATCACGTCACGTAAACCAGGGACGCCACGTGACACCATGGCATGACGTGACGTCATGGCTTCACCTGACGTGCCACACAAGCAGCGGAACAGCGAGAACGATAGGCGCAGTAAGGCCAAAAGAACCTATATATGCTTTGCATTTTCTTTGGGATATACAACAGAGACAGGCGGTTTTCTTCCCAGCTGTTCTTCCTTCTACACTTTTTCCATGAGCGCAGCGTGTAAATTGTAAAAGGAAAACATTGAAGATCAAATTTGAAGGCACACTTACAAAACAACACGGCATGAAAGGACATATGTTTTCTCTAATTCCAGTTAAAAAAAAAAAAATCTCCTCTTCGCTACGAGATATTAATATTCCTGTACGCAGTGTGTGTTCTGGGAAGTGTCAAAAGTCTCTCTTTTTTTTCTTATGAAACAAAATACAGTGACCAGTAAACTTACCTTTGCAGCTGAATGCGTGAATTTTCCATCGTAAGCTGGTTATTGAATATACATTTGGCAACATCATTGAATTTGGAGGATTGGCAAAACTTGAGTTGTTATGTCCTGCATGCACACAAAAGTATTACGCGCGAGTTTATGAAATAACCAAAGAAATAAAGTGAATGACAGAGAAGCAGGATAGGTATTTTTTATATTGCGCTGTTCTTACAGGTAATAAGCTTTTCTATATCAAACTCCGGCAATCAGGCAATGGTTTAAATTGTTTCTAACATTCAGGGACACGAACGAATAATAAGCAATGACCCAGACTCGTGAATACTGCATACAAAGAACGCCTTTCTTTTATTCTTTTATACTTTCAGTAACGGTGTAAAGATGTCATTGCTTCCCGAAAACGGAAACGGGTAACCTAACGGCTTTAGTGTTTCTCGGCGTAATTTGTTCAATGGACAACAAAAAGTGCGTTGACACTTAAAAAAAAGTGTGTCCAGCTATTTTTTTAGAAGTTCCAACTCGAGCTGTGCCATTGAGGAAGTAGAAGGATAGCCTTAAGAAAATTCACGAAGGATAAACAAGACTTCCTATGAAGACGTTGACCACTATACTATAAATTCCTCACCCTGGTAAATGTTGATTGTTGTCATTTTCATCAATTTTGGTAGATGTGCCCGGTTTGGCTTCATTTGAGATTAATTATGGCGCTCCACTCTCACATTAAGGCCGTTTCCAATCATCTGAACTTTGTGTGCCTGGCTTTGATAAAGTGTCTAAACTTTGTAATTTTTGCCGCTTGTGCTTCATTAAAAGAAATTATTTGAAAAAAACTTCTCCAGACAAATATTTAATCATTTATTTTATCGTAAAGTTTCTACAGTGCATTACACAAGAAAGAAAACGGACATAAAAGTGATAAACTGAACAAAACACGCGCTGCATAGTTGGCACTAAAAACAATTACGCAGCCCGTAACGTTAAACACAGCGACAGCTAAGGTGCGACGTCGGAGCCGCTAAGGTGTCATTTCGGAGGCGATGAACTGAATGAACTGTAAAAGGTGCAAGCGCGCACCAGAGAGTCCGCATAGGCGTCTCGTATTAAACCGAGTAACATACCGGACGGAAATTCCACAGCGTTTTGGAACCAGTGAGGGTGTATTAAGTAGCGAGCCTTTCAGTTGTCTGCGTAAGAGGGGAGCGTGTTTTTGTACGTCACTTCGGTACAAATAGTTACACATGCTAAACAAAAAAAGCGCCGAATAAGCTGACCCAAGAAAGTAGACAAGACGAGGTGCACTCTAAAATGAAGGTTTATTGAAACAACAGACCCTATTAATACCCTCTTTCTGGCTATTCGTTTAAAAAATAAAACTCTGTATCTGTTAGAAGCATTGACGGGGAACTAGTGCATTTGCTTTCTCCCCTTGCTTTGTGACACATAATGCATCGTAAAATTCTAAGGCAGTTTTATCTGCGTATCTCTCGAGAAGTGTTTGTGCTAATTCTGGGCCACATGGGCACCTTTCCCAGTGCACTACCAGATTGCCCGGCGGGGACCGTTCTGCTGACGATGCATGCTATATCGCTACTATTCATGGTCATGCATGTTAACTTGCTTGATCGTTATCTTGTTATCAGCGACCCGCGGAATGTTTTGGCGGAGTGCCAAAAAATGGCCCGCGTCGATATTTAGCGCGGTCAACGGCGCGAAACCACGAAGTGTCCCACAAACAGCTATAGTTTTAATATCACTGTAATATTTCTGTAAAATAACATAAGCGACCCAAGCCCGCAGTGGTAAAATCGCGAAGACACCATGAGCGAAGATGACCGACCCGTTTCCACTTTTCAATCTCGGACGTATTTGGCAAGCCCAGCTATCGTTTCCAATTAATATTTTTAGTGGAAAAATACACTGTTTTATGTTCATTCGGCGTCTTAAAGCCCTGATGTTGCTAAGCCAGTGAATAAAACAGGTGCGCTGCTCTTTGTAAACCAGAAAAAGATAAGAAAATAAAAACTGGTGCACAGTCATGCGTAGCCGGCAAAGAACATAAAGCAGAAATGTGGACGCTCCAAGCTGTGCTTTTGAAACGGCTGGCAGCTGCTAACGGACGACCTCTCCGGCGCTACAAAGATGGCGCCCACGAAACCATCTTGTCCCCGCTGTGTTTCCGCAACAGCGGCGCCACGTGTCACCCGTTCGCCAAGCCGGCAGTGACTCTTTCGGGCTAATCCTTTTTTTATAGCCGCCTCTGCAATATTACAACCCTATAAAAGTAAATTCGGAAATGAAACATACAGAAAAGAAAGCGCTGTCGGTAATACATAATTTTAACAATGGAAAATATTACTTAACAGTGAAACAATTAAAATAAAAGCACCTGCGAACAAGTTCATAAAAAACGCATTACGAATGCAGTCCAGTCCCACGCACACAAGAAAAACAACCAAGAAAACTTAATATCAACAAATGAAATCACTTAGTAAAAGAATGCGGTCAATGTCTCACGAAGCAAGATAGTGTCGCCAGTGTCTACGATGGAGTTTAGAAGGTAGTTTCAATCCCGGATTCCTCGCGGAACGACTGAATTGATGAATGCAATAATTGTTCCGGTTTGGCGCTTGAAAATGTTGCTGTCGGCGGTGGATATCTATTTGACCGATCAAAAAAATGATAAGTTTTATAATTGTAGTGGACTTTATTAATTAGATGAATAAAAGATATTTAAAAGGTTTTAGAGCAGGGAGAGAGAAGACTGACGCTTGCTTGAGTGAAGAAAGAATTAAAACAATACTCCGCCGTTTTTTTTTTTTTATGCTCCCCGATTGACCTTAAAATTGTAGAAACACCCACAGACATCGCTGAATTAGAAACAAAAATATTATAAGGAAAACATTTTTTTTTCGCAAATTGCTTAACCTTTAATTTTGGTCATTACTTTAAACAAAATTGTCTCTACTGGCTAAAATGAAAAAGTGGCGTCAACGGCAGGCAGGGGTTTAATATTAGGGCAGTGAAATTTGTTACCAACTAATTACAAAAAGTTTGATGGCGTCAATGGACTGCTTTGGGAGCTCACTCATGCCCTCGGGCAGCAGCACAATACAAATTCGCGGCGTACACCGTTTTCTAGATTGCTTGCTCGACCTGCAAGGCCGTGTTCCAAAATTTACTCGATTTTACTCCATGGTAGGGGTTTGGTGGGCGGCGGAGAAAAGCTCACCGGAGAAAAGCTCACCGCAAAGTTTTGCTGTGAGCTTTTCTCCGGTGAGCTTATCTCCGGTGAGCTTTTCTCCGGTAAGCTTTTCTCCGGTGAGCTTTTCTCCGGGATTCGGGTTTGGTACCTTGGCGTTCCAAAACTTACCCGCGTTCAGCGCTTTTCAATTTGTGTTGTGTCGCGACACGACCCGCGGGAGTAACCTGGATCCATTTGGGTAAGATATGGAACATAGCCCAAGCCCTCCTGCCAGTGACGTCACGGCATTGAAAAGTGCGGGTATATTTGAATGTTGGTATTGGCATCGCCTTCATTCGTTCTTTTCACAACAATTATTATGAATTTACAGATACTAAATAAAATGCCGAAAATTGTTAATGCCGTGTATTCAGGAAATATGGCTCGTTTGTGTAGCTCATGAAATCGTTGGAGTACTCTTTTAACTCATACAAGAGCTTGATGTTATGAAGCGGGTAGCCCACTTTTTGAAAAGCTTCGATGCGTTTTATTCGTTAGTTTTTTTTTGGATTCCAGATTGGCAAGGCTTATTCAAGCTTCTGGCGAATATGAGTTTCACACGTTAGCTTCCGAGGTTGATGTTGTGCTGCTTTTGGGTAAAGGTGGGGCATCCGATGAATTGAGAATCGCTTTCAATTACGATAACCTGGATGACCCATGAAAAGTTAGTTATAAGGGAATTTTAGAACAGCGCACGCTAAAGCTTTGCGTACGCAAAGAATAGGGAGTTGTAGTAGATCGTTTTTCTCCTCCGCTACGTTATCCCCGAAGAAAACGCCGCAGCTGCGCATGTGCGCCTCCAGCCTTCTCTGCATAGTTCAAGGTCTTGTGGCGGATTACGGAGCGCTATCCGGGTGCTTAGCGGGCTGCGGAAACGGTCTACTACAATTCCATAATAGCGTCGTCGCCACTGCGCATGCTCCGAACGCAAATCAGGTTTTGCGCTTTGCGTGCGCAATTTTAGCGTGCGCTATTTCTCGGAAATAGCGTGCGTACACAACGAGTCTTTGCGCTTCTCCAAGGAGAATTCGTGATGAGAAGTTGGCTAAAGCCAAGACGAGCAGAGTTAAAAAAAAATGGCGGCTTCCAGGATTATGTCGGCGGCTGCTTTGGCGGCGTCGTGAGTGCGACGTTGGCGGCTTCCTTGCGGCTGCGATTTTCAATACGGGGCGACATTGTACTCGGTTTGGCAACGATCACCGGCAACATGATGCTTGCGACGCGCGAGCATTTCTCGGCGAAGGTTAGTACACGAGACCTGTCTTGCCGAAGCGACGCAAGCGGACACGACCGGTCAACCGCTCGCGTCGCATTCTCATGTTTAAACAAATCTAAAATGGTACTCCGAACCAAAAAAACTTGTTTTTTTTCCTAAAGTTACAGCATTTCGTGTGTGAAATAAAAATTGCGACTGTATCTCGGTGGCGTCGTAAGCGCGAGCTGCTTGGGCTTTTGCGTCGCGACGGAGAAACGCTATTCTAAAACTCTCTTGAGTAGCGTGCGCTAAAACAAGCGCTACATTTAGCGCTAGCGTGCGCTAAAATTGCGTACGTTATTCTAAAACTCCCTATAAAGCAAACTCTAAGGTAAATGTAAAAACAAAAACCCAGTAATATACGGATTACTTTGATAAAAATAAAAGTTTAAAACGTGGCCTTTTGCAACTTAATTAGAGTGACTTACAATTCACCGTGCTAAAGGATTAAAAAAAAAGTTTGTTATGCCAATTAATAATGTTGGTGAGGTCGCACTGAGCTGAAAAGTTGTAGTAAGATGACACTCAATTGGGGCTGATCAAACACGATGAACCGTTCAATTCTCGTACTCTTTGTATTGTTCTACACCCTGGCATTTCATCGGTTATTGTCTATCATTATTTCTTGGATGATATCGAACTAGTCCGCCTTTCTGCTGACTAGCACTTCTAAAATGAAGCATTCAGAAGTCAGGTTTCACCAGGCCTCGAAAAATATATTCAAGACGACGTGCTTGATCTGGTAACGTACGCGATATTACAAAATACAGGGGGGGTCAGTGACCGGGAATGATAACACAGCGCGACTCCGTGCACGTGGAGCTCAAGCACCCAGAAATCCTCGGTTAAAACCTCAGCAATGCCTATTTCAATCCTGATGACTATCGCTCCGGCCTGTGTTCGGGTAATCACCATTGTGTGATGTAAGTTAAAGACCCCAGGCTAACAGCTGCGTTGTTCTGGCTAAAGTTCTGGTCAACAGCGGAGACACCAGGCGAACATTGGGGTTGACAAACTTCACCTTGTCTAAACCAGTGTTGGACAAAATGCTCGATAAAAGTTTTTAACTTAAGTTACTAAATACCTGCTTCATAAAGTATTTAAAGTACTACTCAAGTTACTTCGACTGTAAAGTATTTTGAATAAAGTACAAATACGTAGAAATATAATTCAATAACTTTTGAACATACTTCCGCATTGCGTAATTGGTATCGACGTCAGCTACAAACACAATTATACAGTGGCGCAAATCTGGTTCACCAGAATGGTTTATTAGCACGCAACAGCACAAAAGTGGCAAAACGAAACACCTTTGCAGGGTTATTTTATGCAGTCCAACTATAAGAAGCAGAATATCACTACTAGATGTCAAAACTTAAAAAAATGGGTCGCTTTAGCAAGATTGTTATCGCTGACGTCCTGCGGCGCACCTTAGGCGCATCGTTTAACTTCAATTCATATGCTCCATATGGGGAGCTCACTATAAACGAGCTTGGGATACGGGAATGAGTGAGTGGATATCAAGGAGAGCCCATATAACAGCCACGGCAACGGTCGCACCTTCAAGTAGGTTGCGTTCAGAAAGGCGCTCAACGTCGGGGGCGCTTTGTGGGCATTTTGAGACGAACTACGAGCGGGATGTGCTCGTAGTTCGTTGTCTGTCCTGTTCTCTGCTTATCAATGTTCGCTCACATACAGCGTTCGCGTGAGCAGCAAGTGCCGGACTGACGACAAAAAGAAAAGAAAAAAGCATCGACGGTTGGCCGTAGCGAAGCCAGATATACAACAAGCAAAAAAAAAAAGTATTAGTTTTGTATCCACTTCTCATTTTCTTGTATTTGTTATTTTCTTGACACTGAAATCTGCATTGTTGTCGTAGGTCGTTTTCCGTTCTGCGTTACGCCCCAGTGTTGGAATATTTACTTCCCTAAAACCACCCCTTTTGTTTGAGGATTTTTTTGGGGGGAACTCTAGGAATTAAAAGGCGTCTTCAGGAAGGCGAGGGGAGAACCTTCAGTGTACGAATTTTGGGGTTAAAGAGTAAACAATCGGCACAAAAGCGATGTTTTAACGAGCTCGGTCTAAGTCCCCAGCTTATCGGAGCTGGCAACAGAATTCGGTTGCTGAAAAGAATGTTCACGTTTGCTCGTGCCACGCCCAAGCCACTTTATACAGAAAAACTCGGAAAATAGTGGAATTTCAAAATGTATTGGAGATAATGAATGCAAGATGCTCATAAATGTAATTAATATAGAGTACCAAATACTCTCGATCAAAAGTATTTGCAAGATGCCAGGAGACTTCAAAACATATTTGGAATACAGTATCTTGAGTAGAGTATTTGAGATAAGCACAAAAAATGGTCTCAACATACACTAAACACAATATTGCAAAGATTTGTAATCTACCCGAGTTCAGCAGGCAGTGTGTATTTAGAACGATCCGTTTCCATTATCCAGACTGAATATATTCTGCTTGCGATAACGTTACTTTAAATGCGTTGCGGAAACTCTTCTTTACCGAATGATTATGTAAAAACAAAGTTATCTTATGAAAATCGCTAGGGACACGTCAGAAGATTAAAATGTGGTTTGCTCTTTGGACTACTTTTCCTAATATTAATCATGGAGTATTTTTTTATTTCAGGATTATAATTGGCTTTTTCGTAGTCGTAATTCTGCTCGCAACTGCCGTTGATGCCCTCGGCAGAATGAATCACAACTGGAAGTGTCAAGTCTATCTCAAAGGTAAGCTATCTGCTTCTGAGGTTAGCACCCCTGGTTGCAAGGAAATTCGATAATAGCTGAAAACAAACATTTATAAAGAATTACATTTTAGATTTTGCTACGTTTATTTTCATCATGCGTGTCGACAGCAGGGATTTCGAATGTTAAGTCAATTTTGCACTTTTTTTCAAAACGAGGTTATTTACTGTTTTTTTTTTCTTCTGTAGAGTTTGTACAGATTTGTTTAAAAGGGCCGTTTAAGCTACACTAATACGGTTTGTGCACATGACCTGTGCGCCTAGGGGCATAATATAGGGAGCCAAGGGGATAATTGCCACAATAAGCCGGTTAATTAACTGAAATATATTGAATGATTTTTTGCTTAGAGAAAATAAACATATAGTTCCAAATAGACAATGGTGAGCGTCGTCGAAAACCACTAAATCACATTTTGAAGAAACTTGAAGCACGCGGGAAGCACAGTGGAGCGCTAAAGTTGCCACTCGTGCAATAGGAAAAAGGTTACCGTTGCGATAACACCCTCGCGTAATAATTTCGCCTCCTATCATCCGCCTTTCTTCACCACCAGCCTTGCTTCTGTTGCCCGAGTGGTAACCTTAGCGCTCTACCCTGGTTCCCACGTGCTCCAAATCTTTCTAGAATTGACTGATGTAGAGATTTTCGGTGACGATCGGCAAGTGTCTAATTGGAACGATATATGTTTAGCTTCACTAATTAAAATGTTAATTGAGAATTATAGAATTATTCGATTTATCGTGACGCCTATCCCCTTATGTTATGTCCCGCTGGCCGTCTGTCCAAACAGGACACTTCAGAAATCGCGAGGCGACACAACTTTGGGAAAAGTCGCGGAAGTTGAAGTCCGGCAGTCAGATTTCTATTTGGACACCACTTAGCAGGCATCACAACTTTGGCCTCGCTTCCTCCGCTTTTCGGTGACCTCGGTGCTCGTCACCTGCCAACGGTGTGTCTTTTGCCTGTCTATCTGTTCTGCCGTCATGAGGGCGAAGAGCCTTCGCCTCCACGCCCTCGTGACCTTCCCTTTTCCGTTTTCGGGTCTTGAACAGTAGCGGAGGCATTGAGTGATTGCAAATGCAGACATCACGTGGGTCCGGACCTACGTGATCAGCATGCTCATGCGCTTCAAAGTTGCCCGATCCGACGTGCGAACTGTCGGAAAGATGACTGCTCCGGCTCGCCGCACACGACTAGAGACACCCGCTTTCGACGCGTCGTTCCATTCAGGTCCGCCCAGTTTCGGGTTTCCCTCTACCGGATGAATGGGTGGATGCTAATAGCTGCATTTATAACGGGCGGTTGCTTGCGCCACCTAGCATAGATATACAAAAAAAAAATAAAGTTCCACCCCTCGCCCTTAGTGTTTTTTCTGGCTTTAAAACAAACCATTTTTTTTATTTTATTCCATTGAAGGTGCACGTCTGAAGACTTTACGTGAGGTTACGTTTTTTGCCCAATATGACTTAATCACGATGGACCGCAGCGGACCTTAGGAGCCTTCCCAGCGAAGCGAGCACTGCGTATACAAATCACGTGACTATGCACCCTGCGTATTGCTGCGCCTCTCCCGAAGTTCGCGTGACACTCGTACGGCTTTGGTATGGTTCGTAGCGCCCGCTGCCGTGCATTGTAACGTGAATTGGAAGACAGTTGGGTCTTGACGGTCTCGATTGGCCCCATAAGGCCGGCTCGCTATCTTTAAAACGAGCCGCTAAATCAGCAGCTCGTTTTGTGCGCGCGGGAAAGCTCAATGGAGTCTGTTGCCTGCACGAAGACGACTCGCGTGACGCACCACTACATCTGCTTCTGGGGGTTCGAGTAGTACCTCCTCTCCCGATCTGTTCGATAGTCACGTGACAACGTGACATTCGCGCCATCAGTGCTGCCAGTGGCTGCGGACCTCCGACAGTCGGATGATAAGCCGTGCGGCGAATATCTGGCAAGTTGTTCGCATGCCGAAGCCCGGCGGAGCCCCATTCGACGCTCCGGTGCGACCAAAAGTGTCGTGTCCGACAGTTCGCACGTCGGATCGGACTGTTTCTACGCGCACGTGTCTCGCACTTTGTGCCGGCGTTGTGTCGACTGACGATTTCTTAACTGTCTTGTTTGGACAGGCCTTAACTCACCTGCAACGGCCGCATTAGTTTATCTTTTACGACCTCCTAAGAACAAATCTTAAAAGGATAAAACAGACAACATCGGTACACCAAGGGAGGAAGCTGAAATCAGTAGGCTAGAAAAGTTGTCAAGAACAATCCCGTTTGTCCGATAGGCACGAAAAATTTATGTTGTTCACGAACAAAGGCCTCCCGCAATTCACTATGCGTCATTTTCCCAGGAACTACCGACTGACCAGGAACACTTTTTTCAGGGACAGTTTGTTTTTAGGTATAAACTTATTTTCAGCCTCACCATTCGCCGAACTTTCTCTACAGACTATAGTGGTTGGTTCTTTGAAATGTCTTTTTGGAAAGTAGGCACTAAAAAGTTGTAAGGGTGTGCCTCCAGCTTTTCAGATTTCTGGTTTTGAATGTGCTTACAGTTTCCAAAATGCGATGCTCTGTATTTTAAGCGCAGCAACCATTCAATAAGCTATCGCTGCGCTTAGGCAGAATAATTCTCTTTCTGGCCGCTGAGTTGGGAAAAACAATTTCATGCTGGACGGTTCAAGATAGAGTTGACATCCCAGCTTCTGCCAGTCATCGCACCACTGAGATACAGCTCTGGTACGTCGACCAACAGCGTCTTCGAAAGCGTCGCCCGGCACCGTATTGTCGAAAATGAAGCGAGGAACACATGAGTGACAAAAACGGGGGCCGCGCGGCAGTTTCCATGGCAACTTGCGCGGACGCTGTGACGTGACGGCTGGGCATAGGTCCACGTCACTGCGTCCTGGGCTGTTGCCATTGAAACTGCCGCGTGGTGCCCGTTTTTGCAAATCATGTGTTCCCTGCTTCGTCGGCCGGAAGCGGGAGAGTTGACGTGACTGCGAGTACCAAAGGACGTTATGCGCGAGCATGGTGGGTCTCGACAACAGGCGCCGCGCCGCAAGATAGCGCAGGGGTGGAGCTCGACCACGGCTCGCATGGTCCGTAAACATTTGCGGCCGACCGTACACTGTAATAAACCTGGTGTGTCTACTTTCCCTCAAAGCACTTGATAAAGCCTATGCTGAAACGTACGGAAAGAGTTCGGCGGATGACGAGACTGAAAATATGTTTAGACCTAAAAAAAGTCTCCGCTCACAGATCTCCTTTCTCAGATTTCAGCAATAGGCCCTTCAAAGCACGGGAAATAAGACTCTGTGGTCTTTTAGTGCGCATAGAGAGTGATAAAATAATGGCGAAACTCATGATATAGGCAACTTATTGCACACGATGAGTCTGCCTTGACCTCCACGCTGCAGCGCCCGTGACGCAGTCCTTCGCCGAGATGTCGCTGCTGCGGGCCACGCGGAAGCTGCTGACGGTCAAGACCCCTCGGGACGAGCACGGCCGCAACCTGCAGGTCGTGCACGGCGTGCGCACCTTTAACGTCTTCTGGATCGTCGTGGCCCACACGTACGGCTTCGCCGAGCAAACCACCTACCGTAAGCGAGGGGCACGGCCTTGGAGGCAGATCTGCCAGATACTTTACTTGGGGAATACATCTAGCTTCTCGAAAATCCAATAACTCCTGCCCAGATAGGTATTCGTAGTGCGAACAGCTGGATTGGCCGCGACCACGGGGTTTTCCCCTTTAAACTGGGAAAAGTGTCTGCCGCCATCTATCGTCGTGGGCATCTGGACCGTCTTCCAGGCAGCCGTCTCGGCTCCCTCGGCGACCCCGGTGTCTCAGCGCGCCTGGGTAGCCCACGTTTACTGCGCCGCCCGACTGTGCGACAGTGTGGACATCGCAATGTGCTATCGGGTTCGAATGAAATGTGAACCTTGACGGAACTTGGAGGACACCATCGGGGCAGCTTTCAAGCTTGTGCTGTGCTTGGCGAGGTTCAAACACATCGGAGTAGGACGCAAAACCTCGTAGCGCCCTATTCCGATGTGTTTGAACGTCGCCAAGCAAAACCCAAACTTGGAAGCTGAGCCGGTAATGGACTCAAAGTTTTGCCACTGTCATTTCGTTCGCACCCGATAGCACATGCGTTCTCTCGAATGCGAGACGCCCACATTAACAGGGCAGAATTTGGCGTTGTATATAGGCGCGCTGTTTAAAGCACACGAGCGGAGTAAAATGTATCCTCCCTGGTAAAGTATTTGGCGAAAAGGTAGGCATATGCGTCAATCCTTAATTATTCGACAAGAGTAACCTTAACTTTCTTAGTCACAGATCTTGGGAGGGCCATAATTAACAGTCGCAGATAAATGCTGATAACTCCCGCGTGTCCGGGGCTTCACAGCAGGCATTCTGAGATCCTTCGCGAATGGAGCTTTATCTGAGCCTTACGGGTCAGATAAAGCTCCATTCGCCAAAAGGAAATAAGAAAGATTCGCGAAAATTTGCACGTCGGCATGACGACTAACTTGGTACCGATCCATTATTAAAAGTAAGTTAAGTCAATAAAAACGCACTACCTAATAACTACTTGACGGCACGTTTGCCCTGCCACTTATTTGCTCCATGGAGAAATTAAGTGGCAGGGCAAACATTTTTGTGGGCGTAGTTTACTGAGAACTATTCATGGTACACCCATGTTAACAGTCTGAAAATTTATTTCTTCCGAGTTACACAAAGCATTTATAAAATACAAAATTCATCACCTACCTGACTTAAGTAGGAATTATACTATTCGCTATTTTACTCTAAACAGGGTTATGAATGCCATCTTGGTTTGGGGAACAAAAACAACAAATGAACTTCAATAAACTTATTGTCCAAGTACAAATATTTCGTATTTGCTAAAACTATAAAAAGGACAAAAAAAAAAAAAAAACCAAGCCGAAGGTTACTTTTTATGAAATATGATATGCTAGAGGGAGAGTAGGTATTTTATTTGCCCTTAAATTGCTTCAGGAAAACAGACTCCGTGTACACCAGCAGAGAGCGTGAGTGCGTACGCTTTTCGAGAACTAAAGTGAAAAATGACGACAATAAGAGCTAACTATGGCCGACGGAGGTTACATTTCTATATAGATAATCGAATATTTAGACAAAACATACACACACATGAACTGAAATGAACCCTATTTTAGTTCAAAAATTAAGAGCAAGAAGATGCTCAAGACAAGTGGCATTATATTTCAATCTGCACAATGTATAGTGAATTTACAGATACAAGTTTCATTTAGAGGTTGCTTTTCATCCATTTTATTTTATTAATTTTATATTTCCTTTTTTTTTGGCGCTGAAGTGTGGGAGAAAAGCTTTTTAATTCACTTTTTAATTGCCTTATTAAAGTAACTTATTCTGAAGCTATTTTTCTTGACCTTATAGAATAACCTTTATTCCAGTTTTTCGCTCGCATCGGTTTGTTTCGTTTCGCCTTCGTTCTCCGAGGTATTTATTCCTTTCGCGTTTGCTATCGTTCCTTATGTTTTTGATGTATTATGTTGCGCTCTTAAACTGTAGGGGGCCAGACACTCTGTCAGGCACCTCTATTTATTCCCCATGCACGAAAAGAATCAGCAAAGCCCATAAAAACGAACACTGTGAAAGCCTCGCTCTTTTAGTGTCCGCTAGTAGCAGAACTTTGCTCTATGTTTTATCATGTCACGTGATCCGCGGGAGCGAATCGCATCTACTTAAGAAAGCTTCGGAGCACAGCCAACCTAACGTAAACAAAGGATTAACTTAAACAAAAAAGAAAACAACGTAAAATGGAGCAGTGGTGCATTTTCTGTGAAGCACTTACCGGACTAGCGCGGGGCTTCGAGTGGACAGCAGCTTTTATCAGCAACGTTCACAAAGGTCTCGTGTCCAATCAGTGAAAACGCTAGCGCTGCGTCGCCGTTCGGTTGGAAATAGCGTCTAATCAGTGAGGACGCGTGTTCCATCCAAACTCCCCACGCTCTTCGTGCGATCGTCTTGCGTCACATAAGTACGAAACCGTAAACGGTTAGGTGCCTGTCATAATGATTCTGCGGTAAAAAGAAAAAAATGTCTTGACCAGGATCCGGTCTGCACGTCATCAATCAAGCGAGCAGCATATTCTTCCAGCCTGTAATGAACTCCTTTCTCTGCGTCGATTCCTTCTTCTTTCTCAGGTAAGACCCATCGCTTTCGTCCATTTCATTCGCGCGGTAAGTTCGTATGTAGCACCATGGTGGAATCGGGATAGTAAGTCATCGATGGGGACTGCTCGATCGTCGTGTGTACTTAGCGCGACTCTGTTAGCTCAAGCAAGAAATTGCCGTTTCATTTTGAAGCGCAATGCGGAACGCAAGTTGGTCTGCTTCTTTTGCAGTGGTTGTGGGGAGGTCAGACAGCCGAGCTCTGATTGGTTCTGATTGAAGGATAGTGGGTAGACCTCAAAGGAAGCTGTCTCGAGCTCTGCCCACTATCCGTTGATCAGAGCTAATCAGAGGACGGCGTTCTGACCTCGCCATAACCCCTGCAAAAGTAGCAGACGAACTTGCGCTCCGCATAGCATTTTTTTCGGCACGGCTTAAATTAGGTGCACGTGCATTGCTTCGGGGTTGGTTCTTCTGCCTTCTTCCTGGGCAGTACCGCAATATGATTGGCTTTTGAGCGATAATAAGATGCTGGAGACTCGCCACCCCAACTAAAAATTTCCATTAGATCTAATTGGAATTCCAACTGGTTTTAATTGAAACCAATTTGTTTTAGGGAGGCCCCAACTGGAAGCACGCTGGCCAACGGGTTTCATCAATTGGAATTATTTCTCCACTTGGAAACTAAATGGGGTCCCACGAGTTCCCATTGGGAGTGACCAATTGGTTGTCCGAAAGCCAAATTGCTACCAATGGGAAATTCCAACTTGGAACCTATTGGGAATTTTCAACTACAACTTCCAGCATTTCTTATGGACACACTCAATTCTCTGACGCTGCGTACGCGCAGAAGCTTCCCTTCATCCGAGTCGAATTTCTGTCCTCGAGCAGTGCCCACAGCATAGTGTGGGCGAAGCGGGGGCTCGTTTGTAAACAGTGTGTTGGTGTATGCACTGCTATACAGTGACTATAGCGTGGTGGAGGAAGCGCTTCTTTTGGGGCCACTAAGCTAAGCGGTAATAGGTGGTGCCCTTGACGAACAATACGCCGGAAAAGCGCCGACCTCGTGTCGGCGCCAACAACGCCGCGCAGCGCACGCGTTAGGAAGGAGGGGCCACATACTCAGCTGTATGTTTCCGCGGTATATATATATATATATATATATATATATATATATATATATATATATATATATATATATATATATATATATATATATATATATATATATATATATATATATATATATATATATATATATATATATATATATATATATATATATATATGCCTTTATTTTTTGTAGAGCGTGTTTTTATGTTTAGCCGACACAATGAACCAACTAAACTCAGTTAAAGCTCATTCCAAAGACAGAGCATTGCGAATACTATCAGCTTATATGCATTTGCTTTTAAACTCTTGAGAATAAATATGTCTTTCACGAAAGACGGCCCATGCGCATGATTGCCCGTGTAGGTCTCATTTCGTTAATCCGCGGCACAGTTGCCGATAACAATATTCTACGTTTAACGCTACGATTCAACAAAGCCAATCAAGCAGAATCAAAAGCGTATTGTCACGTCAGTCGTTGTTCTTTGCTAGTTTGCCAATCACGCCCAGCAGAAAAGATCGGGATCGCGGCAGATTCACTGTACGTGATTGGTTTAGTCGGTGATTGGCAAACGCAGACAGACAACGAGCGCCATGACGATGCACGTTTAGGGATGTTTTTTGATTGGCTTCCTTGCTTTGTAGAGTGGACTGCAGTCGGAGATAATGCCAACCAGATCACGCTTCCCTAACCGTCGCGCTCTGCTCTCTTTCTTTTTCAGTGGCTTTCTGTTGACGTTCAACCAGTGCAAATCAACGTGGCAAACCGGACCCGTGCTCGATTTCTTCGTGAAGCTCTTCGGTCGTTATTGGAGGTTAGTGGACCCGAACTGCATCTAGATTTGCACTCTGGTGATACGTGTCAATAACCTCGAGGGCTTTCTCGCCCCAGCACCTTAGATCTTTAAGTATTAGCCTATGAAGTTAATGCTGCGTATGGCCTTTAATGTTCCAAGCTTGAGGCTCAGTTCATTGATTTCTAATAGGAGTGATTTTATGTGCACTTTTCTCCAATGAAATGGCTCCCAACATATTTCTGTTAAAGCTTTCAAGACAACTTCACTATTTTTTTTTTTCTTCCGGGTGGATTAAGCACTTTTACGGCGTTTCGAAAAAAAAGATCACGCAAACAATGGCCCGCTCAGTTACCCCCCATTCACACTGGAAGCGGATCCGCGTTCGCGAAGCGGTTGCGAAAGCGGTTGTATAAAGATCCAGTGCAATTGCACGCGCATTTGATGTCATCAAATGCGCGTGCAATTGTACTGAATCCTTATACAACCGCGTTCGCAACCGCTTTGCGAACGCGGATCCGCTTCCAGTGTGAATGAGCCCTTAGGCAGGCCACCAAATTTAGTAGATGGTGGTCATGTGACGTCAACAATGTGACGGTAACTCGTGATAGTGGTCACGTGTGTTATTACGTAATATTCGCGAGCTAGATTTGGGGGACCCTTTCTCGCCAGACAAACTAGGCGGGTTTCGTTGACTCGGTACATCTCGAAATGTGGTAGCCATAGCAATTGTGTCACCAATCCAGCAGGCTTTCCTAGGAGGTGGCGTTTTTCTCTCATCGGCTGGCATAAGTGACCGTGTGCCAATAACAACAACCAATGGCGTTGTCCTCCAGAGGCGCCCTATCAATATTTTCACATAATCAATTACATCTAGATTTACACATCGAAACACGCATTTTACGAATCAAAATTTCGTAACTATCACAAAAGTTGTGCTTATGTTTCCTTTTTGTTTTGTTTTTCTTTCCACCTAAGATTCATAGTGATGAAACATATTGATCGCTTTACTACAAATTCCAACTGCTGTTGCCCATTAGTTCATCTGGCCAGCTTCCCCTTCAGCTCTATTAAACCAAGAAGGTGGGTCAATGCTTGATGATCGGTGTAAAGTAAGAACCCTTTTCCGCCGAGGTATGTTCGAAAGTATCGAATCGCCATCAAACAACCAGCGGTTCCATCTCGGTTGTCGTGTAGTTGACCTGCATTTTCGAGAAGGTTAAACAGCTACGACATATTCGATAATCTAACGTTGTAGGCTTAAAGAAGAACGCAGCGGTGTCTCTCAGATAAAGCACCTCACCGTTCCCGCACTGTGAAGCATCGGTAGTAAACCCAAAATATGTTCTTTCCTGCATAACTTTTGCCAAGGGCAAGAACGCTATAATTATATTGGCAAACAAACAAAAACGTGAGTGTCAAGAAAAATAAATATAGAATCGGTCATACTGTGCGTGGACGCCATGGGGCCCGAACAGTGTGCCTAGATTTGAGAGTTTCCAGCTGCTTTATCGAGGTCCCGCGGTTTAGAGGCCGAGTTTGCAGTACAAGGCTCGAGGGGGAGGCGAAAGCAAATACTTTATTAGGAAATACACCTTAGTCCGGGATATTCCGACGGCCGTGCCGTTGACAGCTTTTGCATAGTTGGAAGGGCTGGACGCGCGGAGCCTCGGGGTTTTCCCCTTTTTAAATAAGACGGGTGGCTGCCGCGATCTAGAATTGTGGCAACTCGTTATTACAGCAAATAGAGCCGTCTCTATTGTCTTTGATAAGCCGGTATATCTCGTTGGAGTCGACGGCAAACGACTTCCTCGGCGCAGCGCGAAAGCGCGACAGCGTGAGTGGTGCACGCGTGCTCTCGGACGCGGGCTTTCCCCACCGCTAGAAGAGGATTCGGCACTGTAGGCCCGCTGTATAATGCAGATGGGTGGAGCAGAAGGGTATTTTCCTTGTAAAGGAGAATGAATACGTTCTACTCGTGCGTTGAACGTTGCTCATGGGTGTGCGTACAACGCAGTCCGGCGTTGTACGCACTCGCATGAGCAACCAATTGACGCAAGAAATGTCCGCCATTAAGCACACCGTTTTCAAAAGTGCTCGCCTTCTAACAGCTGTAACTATTCGAGTCCACCATTGTTTGAGCACGTGCTCTGAGTACGTATGGGACGTGAGGGCTGCATCAGCGTTCGGCGAGAACTCTGACCCAATCACGCGCGCTTATTTAATGGGAACCGCCATCGTTGCTCGATCGGGTTTTGGAAAGGGTCCATCGCGAACGCTCTCCGTGACTCGAGTTCCTTCCTCTCTCAAATCTAGGCTCTCTAGACCCGACCCCTTCCCCGCAGGCTGGTGCCCGTGGCTGCGCTTTGCATGACGGTGCTCTTCCTGCTCCCTGAGGTGGCGTCGGGCCCCATCTGGCACGAGAAGCTGGACATGGCAATCGCCAACTGCCACCGGTCCTGGTGGTCCGTGCTGCTCAACGTGCAGAACTTCTACCCTTACGAGCAGTCGGTGAGCCCCCAAGGGGCACAATACCGTCTTCCCTCTAATCGCTCTGGAATTCGCTACGATCCTTACCAGTGTGTTAACATTGTCGCAGGTCGCGTGTATTGCCAATGATTACAGTCCAGGGAAATAGCTTATCGAAGAACGATGTGAAGCAGGTGTCGTCGTGCAACCTCTACCTCGAAGCCGGTCAAAATTGAGGGAACAAAATATCTTCTGCGAGGAGCGTTGAAAATGAAGAGCGCATCACACTCACCGACAGCTTAAAAAACCCAGTGTGGCTAAAGTTTTTTTTTTTTTTTTGCATCGTTTTTTTGTCGTTTTTAATGGGTGAGGCGATGATCTCATTGACCGTGCAGTGTTTGACACTCGTCACGTTTTGCGTTTGTTTCTTTTAAGTGTTAGCGACTACCGGCTTGCGCTTCTAACACGACGTGATATTTGCCAGTCAGTGTAAAACAATCGTACACAAGAGCTTAACACCATTCGCCGAATCGCTCCTTCTTTCCTTTCTCGGCGGTTCTCATCAAAACGGTTAAAAAATGGTTTCAACTGAGCAAATACAAATATTTATATAATCTCGAGCAAATAAAGACATACAAACATAATAACATTTTTTATTCAGTATCAATAAACATTATTTTTTTCAGCTTTTCGTTTTTACATTGGGTCCTATATACATTGCAACGTCTTCGATGCATTTCTGAGCGACATCTAAAAAACCGTTCCACGGAATTTTAATATCGACGGACTCATAGAACAATCTAATTAACAACTTATTGTTTCCAAAAAGACGTCATATACCTCAGAAAAAAAAAAAAATGGAATATTCTCAAAGTCTTTCTTGCAGAAGCGATTAGATCGTATACCTGCACCGCGGAAAAGCGTGAGAGCATTACCCGGATGACAGCGTTAAATTAGGAGGGGCAGGCGCAATTATTCTTAGCTCTCTATAGGTTCGCAGACGTCGGCTTTTAATGCGAAAGGATTGACCATCCGATGGAGCGCAGTCGGCGTTGTTTTGTGACCGCGAAAAACGTGCAACTAAGGAGAGGGTGGCGTGCCCTCGGCCAACACCTCCTAGAAACTGAGGTCGTAGCGCTCTTCTCGTGATGCCAGAAAGGAAGGCCATCGGGGGTGCGCGTCGAAACGAAGGCAACGCGCGTGGATCGACCGTCGTAACGCGCCTTTAGTCACATACGCGTGTCTTATTAACTAAAATGAAAGCTGCACATAGCAACGGGTCTAGAAAACATTTTATTTCCCGGGCAAAGCATTCCACTGGTAAATAATCGGTACGAAATGACACGAGGTATGCGTAGGAAACGTCGATGGAAAAATGCGATTGTGTAAAGTCGAAAATGCTGAGTCACGCAATTATTGCTGTAGGAATGCATATTTTATACAGAAATAGTTCGACAAAATGGCCAGGCGCGCAGTGATAGGACACAGCAAAACAGATCACAGTTAAAAAGCAGGTAGACATATACGTGAACGCTGACACGGCGAGACAAGTGTCACGATCATGCAAGCGATATTATCGCGTGCAGTCACTGAATTCTTGCTTTATACCGCGGCCACATGGCAAAATTAATGTATTTTCGATCGAATTCATTATGGGGTCGACAAAACAGCTTGCGACGCTCGTATAATCACTCAAGACCGCGAGCTGGTTAAATCCCGTATCATTTATTGAAAATATATTAACTTTTCCGTGCGGCAGGCGTACTAAACTTACTATTTAGAGTAAACTAATTTACTTCTCCCTATGGGCTTGAGCTGCTTCAGAACAAAATATAACTTATTTTGTATACAATATTACTATTACCTTAACACAGTTAAGATTCTAGTATAAAGGCGGTAAAAGCAATAAAGTAACATTAGCATAAATAAACACATAAGCACAAACAACGCACTATCAATAATCACACAAACTTGCTATTCACCTTCTAGTGAAAACTAGATTACTACGCATATATACAAATATTGACGGAACTGCACATGGATAACGACAAAGAACAAAACTCCGTTCTATCACAAAATTAAAAAAAAAAAAAAAAACACTGCAGCACTCTGCTCGCGTCCTACATGACCAAAGAAAGCCCGTAAATAAGTTGTTGGTCACCTATCCATCGTATTCATACGTCCCGCAATACCCCGTCACCAAAAACATTTGAACACGAACTCCAAGGAGCCTCTTTGTCGAGAGAGAGGTCTATCGAAAATCGACCAGTGTCATCGTTGACTAGTTGCCACACATGTTACTCAAAGCGTAGCAGGTCTTGTTCCGCGAATCCACATAAATGCCACAGCGTCAAACGGACACAAAAAAACTCCCCGAGACTACGGTGGCGAAAGAAAAACGACGGGAAGGAAAGAACTCTCAAAAAAACCACACACGGGAACAGCGGCAGCATTATGGGACGAGAGGCTTAAAGTTGCCGACCCACCTCTTGCTCGTGTGCGCACCCTGCGGCAATGACTGTATATTTTTTTTTTATTCCTTCCCTTCTGAAATTTCTCAGCGTTCCTTATCAGACAGTCAGACACAACGTAAATTTACCAGGATCGAAGCCTGTATGAGGGAAGAAAATGTCACACCACAACCTGTTCATTCGAAAAGTCTGGAGAGCTGCGGGACTGCACGTAGTCCCGCGGTTACGGGGATAATCATAAATATAAATTTGCAACTTTCAATCTTGGTAACAGGTTGTATTTTACGCTTATTTTATACATATATTTATATATATATTAAATTATACAAGACTGGGCAAGACTGCGCACGAACACCACCGCGCCGTTCGACAAGAGACTTTTTTTTTATTTTTTTTTTTACGTTGATACCAAATATTTTCTCACGTAGTTGCGCCATGGCCTTCCTTCTCCGACATTGTGACGTAACCACTCGGAGCGCTACGGCTTTCTTGCCGGAGGCCAGGAAGAGAGAGAGGGGGGGGGGGGAAGGGGCAGGTAAGGGCGAGCTAAAAATTCCCGCCCCGTCTGCTAGGCGCAACGCCGCACTCCCTGCCGGCGCTACGCCCCCCCCCCCCCCCCCCCCCCCCCTTGCTCCTCTCGGCTCCAGGAATGCTTTCGCATTCATAACTCATAAAATATGGTTTGGTATATTTTTTCCTTACCATGAGTGTGCAAAACTTCCGATGACCTCGTAGCAGTTTGGATCGGGTAAACGAGTAGCATTGACACGAAAAGTTATTTCGCAATTTTCACTTCAACTATTCCCTTTTTTTGTTGCTGCGCAGTGTCATAGGCTCTGTTAAAACCCAGTGGCACTGCTCGTACCCCATACAAAAGACACGGTGTCGGCTGTAGAGATGATGGCAAAACTATTTTCGGACATGCCTCGTTTTCGAAGTATGTTCGCTTCTTGCATTTGTATGCATCACACATGTACGGCCAATGTGAAAGGACCATCATACGAGGCAGAAAAAACGTTTCAGACAGTGTCTGCAGGCTGTTTTGTTGTGGGATGTATAGCGGTCTGAACGCGGTGTTAGGCCCGTTCCCACCTTAAAAAAAACGAGAGTCTCGCAACCGAGCCATTCGTTAATACGCTACTGTCGATGTTTTCTCGCAGTGCCAGCCCCACTACTGGTACATTAGTGCGGATATGCAGATCTTCCCCGTGGTCTTAGCGACATCGATTCTCCTGGGAAGGTAAGTTGAGTTAAAATGTTACGCTACTGCTAATATCCTTCGAATATTGGCGCAGCTCGATAATTCACTAGGTGTTAGGGTGGATATGGAGAACAAATTAGTGTAAGCGGGAAGTTCGCAATCTTCGCATGCGTAATGTTTAAAGCAAGTCAATATAGTTCACGCGGAGCTTGTTCATAATCTAGGGGAACAGTATAAATTTTTACGGAAGTTTTTCTGTTTTAAAAATACGCCTCCAACTCACAATATGTTAATGGACGCATTCTTTCCGAGCGTTTTAATCTCTACTTTCTAAATCGGATCATACGAGAGAGCCGAATATCCCTTCTGGAAGTGTAGTGTTTAAATTTGATACCAAAATCAACTGCATTTTTTTTTTAATTTTTTCCGAAGATATTTTTTCTCTAAAACAAGACTTTTCTAGTCATCCTCCAAAACCGCTCGGTGACATCATGGGTGCCTGCGAGCCTGTTCCTATGCCCTTTTTCTTAGGAGTTTGGCGAAAATTGTGTGACGGGGTTAGCAGTGTATTGCGTCACTGCATTCGGTAAGTGCTGAAACAGAAATGGGGTTGGCAGAATTATCACTTGTATGGAAGGCCTGGAAATTATTTTTTTATATTACGGCTTTGAGACGATTACCATCATTGCCCCAAAACCGTAAATATTGTCTTTCTCAATGCGTAGTAACCTCGGTGCTGAAAACAAAAAATAAGACCCCTTGTGAAGTCCCCTTTTATTTACACAATGAGATGTTATGAAATGCCAGGGTGATTATTAATTTATCTGCACAAACATATTAGCGCTTATCCCGCACAAACTTGTCCAAGTCTGTCGTGGATTATTGCATAGGTAGACCCTTGGCTGATTTGGAAATGATTTGCAACATCTTCCAATGTCATTCGTATACATGACGGAATCAGTTGACTTACACGCTCAACGTTGCTATCAGACGTCGACTCGGGCTCACGCCCGGCTCTTTCCTTGTGGCCAATTTGTGCGTTCCTCATTGAACTTGTGTATTCATTCAAACGCACTTCTTCGCGACAAAACACTTTCTCCATACTGTGCGCGAACGATCGGAATCAGACACACCCTCAGGCTGCAAGAACCAAATCACTGCACGCTGCTCTTCTTTCATGCAAATCACAAGTGGGGCCACCATTATATTTCTTACAGCAGTCACAACTGAACTGACGTTGCACTTTCAAACCTGCAGATAAGGGACTGGAGGGATAACGACTTGGTACAAAAACCTCTGTTAAGACAGTGTGGCCAACAGAAGTTTGAGGATAACTGGAATGTGAATAATTTGTGATTCAAACTTTGTAGATCTAGCTACGGAGAGCTACCTCGCGGTTTCGCGACGGGTAAGTAGGAATCCATGTTTTTGAAAGGAAGAAATATCCTCTTAGAAAAAAGCTAGTTAAAAGTTACTACCGTTTTCTAAACTTTACTACATTTTAACTAGCTATTTACTACTTCAAACGCGCGACAGGCTGTAACTGCAGCTGCGACTAGCTAGAAAGTTTGAGCTAGTAAGCACCACTAGTTGCGGCAGCTGCTATGCTGGGAAGCCAGGACGTGGCTGCTGGGAACCTTTGGGAAGGCTATTTTATTGACTGTGGCAAGTACTTACTTTGTGTACCGTTACTTTTTAGTAAGGCATACATTCCTTGGAATATTTAGCAACATTCGTGGACACCAATATCGGCGCAAAAGCAGCACCACATTTGTAACATTGTTCACGTACGAGCTGGTCACGGAACAACCAGGTAACCATTGGGGTAGCGATTGGCTTAGCGTTTCATAATGTGTGTGTGTGTGTGTTCTATGTGTTCTTATTCCTGCCTGTGTTAAATTTATAATATCTATGGAAATGTTCAATAATTATGACGCAGCATGGAAATAAAATTTACCCCAGGGTTAATGCTTTTTTTTCCCAATTTAAAGGTAATAGCGGTCACTAGATCTTGTGAGTGTTAGTGCCAGTTACTAACCAAGGTAGTGAAAAGTGCTAGGTTCTATTGATGAGGTTAGTAACCGTTACTAGCTTGACCGTTACTAATAGCAGTATTAACATAGTGAATGTTGTGGCAAGCAGTTACTAGCTTGTAGATGGTAAGTACTACCACCATTTTTCTAAGAGTGTACAGCACTAAAGAAGGGCTACATTTTGGTCTAATATTCGCTAGTTCAGCGTTCCGTTGCATGTGTGAACCGCCAATTTCGCAGTAAACCGGAACAAAATCAATCCCGGTCTTTAGTTATTACCTACGTTACCACATTTGGTTACTTGGGAATAATGCGTCACTGATTGATTTCTGGCCCCTAAAGTATTCGCGATCTATGGAAGTCCAGTGGTCGGTTTCGATCCAGATCAATCCTTGAAATTCGCTTTGCAGCGACCGACAATCAACGCAGAACCATGGTGGTATGGCAGACACGAGGAAGGTCTGCACCTCTTCTTTTGGAGTCTTTGTCCAATGGACACGATTAAGGCGATGTCACACTACTAACTAATTGTACGAAAAACAGACTGCAGACACTGCTCAAGGCGTGCTTATTCTTTGCATACCGGTCATGTCACATTAAAAACCGTGTGCAAACATGTTTCTACAAATGGGCGTATGAAGCCTTCGGACATGCTCGAGCCGCAGACACCGCTGCCATCGTATCTGCAGCCGACACCGTGGCTTTTTTGTATGATGTACGAACAACGCGTCTGAAGTTTTCGGCTCTGATCCAGAGTCATAGATCCGTGAATTCAGTAGCATGTTGGCGCGAGAGAGACCCAGTCACTGGAGCGTTTGTTATATAAGCGGAGGACCAAGTTTTTCTTGATGGTACAGTATATTAGCTAATTATCGTAGTACTGCTAGTGTTTTCAGGTGAAGTATGTTTTAAACTGTCGATCGCACATAAAAGGAAACTTAGGTAACCGTATGTAATTGGTCGCATACCTATTCGGTCGTGGCAAGAAGTACGGTACATGTCCTTCGCTTAATTAAACGTTCACTTTTATCGGTTACGCCAGTCTGCTCTCCATTCATAATGTTCTGGCTAGGATATGGGGTAAGCCATCTATTCAGCTTCTCAGACATCAAAGGTTATATGTAATAACGATACCGAACGGTCGATGACGACGATCCGCGAAAACCACGACGAGCATTGACACTGACGCGAGCAACGAAGTGTCATGGTGTTGATAGACCATCTTCAAAAGGGCGCGCCATCTAGCGGGTGTTCTGCCAATTACCAGACTCTGTCATAGTTGGACCAGATACTGCGTGCATGGGTTGGACACGGAGGCTTCGCAAGCTTTCAGCGTGAACTCGATTGAGCTCGTATCGAGGATGAGTGCTGCGTCGGCGTTCCGTGAGGACTCAGACCCAATGACCATCTTTGTACCCATGAAATGGCGGTCTCCAATGTTGCTTGATAGGCTTTTTAAAGGGTTTACTACGACGAGGAACAATAAAAAGGATGTGTAACGACAACAACCCATAACAAATAGAAAGTACGGCGAGGACAGTGATCGGTGACTACAGCACACAATTAAGAACAGTAATGACCACCGCTGATGACGATCAAGAAAAATAAATGATGACAACGAGCAACCAACGACGACAAATAATAGCAACACTGAAACAACGAAAAGACAGGGACAACGACGAACAACAACGACGAACAATCACGACCAAGGACTACGACGAGCAGTAACGACCAACAAGTACAAATGACGACCGAAAACAAAGATTGATAATAAAAAACAAATAACGACAACTAAGAACTTTTTATGAGGACAGTTTTGACAACTGACTGATCACAACCTGTGTAATTTCCAAGAATCTCAATTATAGCATGACACTTGGCCATTCTTATTTTGTTGACTTTTCCATTTGGTTCTTTTTTCTGTTCACCGCAGACGAACTAAGGTAGCGGAAGAATGACATTCATGCTTTCGCATTCACAAATCATAAATGCTTAGGAGTCCTAGGATTTGTTTTTATTGCTCAAATGATTTAGTGTTATCGAGATACTCCTAATGTTCACTGGCGTGGCATGTTTTCGAATGCTGAAGGTATCTGGGAAGAGGCTAAGGTAGCTGTAGACAGTATGTCGCCCCCGCCGTCACAAAAAGGGGCGGACTTTTTTTTAAGCACAATTTTAGTTAATTTTTTTGTTGGTTTTGACATCTGTCTAGTAGATTGATGACTCTGTATCCTTGGATTAAATTTTTATTGTTAAATATTATTTGTGCTTCAGTTCGTTTTCATTTTTACACAAGTCCCTAGTTTCATTATGTATGATGAAGTTGTTGGGCAGTGATACTGTACAGCAAGTTCCATATTGCTTTACAGCCGAAAACTATGCATTACATGCATCATTGGATGAAGGATGAAGCGAAATAGAACTTACCCCGATATTGCCAATTTATCTACTCTGTAGAGGTCTCACATTCGTCATCTGGGAGTTCGATTTACTTTACGATGAAATGACAGACAGAACTCTGCATTTGAACGTTATAAATAATGCAGCAAGGACATTATGCACTCAAGGGGGGGGGGGGGGGGGGGGGGGTCCGTTTTCTGTCCTCCCTCCCGTGTGCCTTCTTCTATATTTGTAGTTTAAATACGGTCAATTGGTGATCCTATGCACCGAGAAACTGAGTTAGAGAAGGAGACGAGAGTGCGCGAGGACGTCAGAGCGACCAACTCTGGTTGGAATGATTAGTGGGTACACCTAAAGCTAGCAAGCCTTGGTTTCAACTGCACTCGTCGAACACGTTAGAACGGGAAACGCCGGTGTCCGGCGTTTGGTTTTCGCGTTTGAGTCACTGATCCCTATTGTAGTAGGCTTAATCGTGAATTGGGAGCCCGTCGGTGGCATTCCCGGCGGCCATTACTTGGCACCAGGCAATATACGTAAATCAATGGAAGAAACGCATAAAAGTAGGAATATTAGAGCTTGTACGGGGTGCTCGAATGCGAGTAGTTTATGATGTGCTGCGACCGTTAGGCTGGGTGCTTAAACATCGCAAGGGCACTCGTCAAGCTTTCGAACGCCGATTAAAAAAATAAAATGTGCCGGAGCACCATTGACTGTGCCGGCACCACTTGCTTCAGTTTCTAAATAAATGACACGTTCAACAAATTAACGACACGCTCCGAGTTTTTGTTCGTCAAAGAAGCCCACACCGCAGTTCGAAGCAAAAGCTTGGACCAGAAGTACTCTGTACGAGCGCTCGAAATGATGCGAATGTCCCCAGTAAAAGCCTTCTAACTCATCGTCTGCAAAGCTCTTATGACTTCGAAATCACGATTGACTCCACATTGACTCTCGTCAACCCTTGTGTCATTGAACTGAATTACAGTTTACGCTCAAGAAAGTTGGAAACCTCGACCCTCAATCACGAAGCATTTATTTAAAATAAATATTAGTATTCTAACGCTTTTGATATGGGTGCCGAGAATATTAACTGCAATTCCAGGAAAAGACGATACAAGTTTAATCGTCGAGAACAACCTACTAAGGTAAGAATATGCAGTTTCCCCGTTTCTCCCATAGAGTCCCATGCATTAGCTGGTGTCAAGCGATGGCTTCCGGTGGTGCCCCTCGACCCCAGAGAGACAAGTCTCGCTCCACGACCCAGTCCACAACAATAGTTATCAGCGATTGGAACGCCTTCGATAAGTGCAGTGGAGACATAGGCTCCTAGCTTTAGGTCTACCAACTGATCATTCGAACAAGAGCTCGGCTTTTTGAAGACCCCCCGCAGTCTCGCCTAACCCCCTCCCTCAGTTTATAGGGGCATATCTGTGTCTACAGTTTGATACACAGTGTACGCCTAACGATCATGTTGAAAATGACCCGAGACTGCGGTAAAATACGAGAAATTCGGTAAAATGAATTGATTCATTGGATTGAAGCCCTTTTAACGAGTTGCAAAATTTGGCTTTTATACGTTTTAGTTTGTAACATTTCTGTACATCTCCAGGATGGGCTTGCCTTTGTGATAAGTTCTAAATCGAAGCTTTAATTTTTATGCAGGTTGATATGAGGTAAATGCTTTTTGTGTCCAAGTAGAATAAAAGAATCTCGATGTTAGCCGTATGGCAATTTAGTTAAAAGCCAGAAAACAAACATTAATGGTTTGCTTCATTCTTATTCCTTCCAAAAGGAACAGTTAATTTCAAACGACCAACGTAAGCACTCACATTCAAGTTTCGAGGAAACAAATGCGAAAGCTAACCGCAGTTTTCTGGTGTGACATTCAACGTTACGTAATTTCGGTTTTACATTGCACATTCAGAAACGACGCATCGTGATTTATTTGAGTTGGTGTAAAATTCCCGCGCGCACGTAAGCTCGGTGGCAGCCAGGCACCTTGTTGTGGAAACAGATGGCCTTTGGTACTTAGCGAGTTAAGTTTGAAGTTTTCACTCGAAGTTCACCCCTTTTTTTTTCTTCCAGGAGGGCTAAACTGGGTCTGATTGTGAAGGTTGTCATCCTCGTACTCAGCGTACTCCTGGTCGGAACACTGACCTACGTGAACAGCTACCCTCCGGCCATTGTCCTGTTCGGAAGGGACATCATGTGAGTGTGGCCGTTTTAAGGCGGGGCCGTGCTACTCGAGTGTCTCGCGACTTTAGAAACGCAGGGCGTTGTCAATTCCAGACATCTCATTATCTCTTCTCAGCCAATAAGATTGCTTTGAAAGTAAACATCTTCGACAGAAATCTGTCTGGTTTGGGGAACAATTCGAAAAAAAGAAAGAAAAAAGAAAGAAAACTCAAACTTTTGGTTTGAGTTTTCTTTCTTTTTTTCGAATAAGATTGCTGAATTAGCCGATAAGAACAGCGAAGAACCAATCGCGAGGCGTGATCATTATAAGCCACGCCTTCTGTTTCTTAGGCTATCAGTAACGAATACAAAACCTAATAAAATGACGAGCCCGAAAAAAAAAGAAAAAAAAAGACGTAGCGATTACAGCTTAATAGAGAAATATTCACAGTATCGGTCGTCACTGCGAATCATCGACCGATATTTCGCGATGAAACTCGCTAGCAAGATGCTTCTTAATCAAAAGGACTCTAAGGTGGTGTTTGAAAATGTCGTTTTATGGCGCGGACACTACCTACGCGTCCTAAGCATTCTTTAATCACTGAAAGTTTCGGAAACGTATGGTGAGACCCGAACGTCTCATCATCAGCCAGTGCAGGATGCGACACTAACCAATAAAAACAGGGAAGGACGGATCGCCTTATCATCAGGCAATGTAGTGTGCGGCACTCGCCAATAAGAATAGGAAACACCGGACGACGAAGCAAATGTCGTGAGCCAAATGAGTTACGATCTGCGTTTTTGAAACTCTCACTGGCTCGAAAATATCGAACATTACAAGCACGCGCGGCCATCATTTTCATCTATTGAAACATTGTCAGATATTGGGACACGACCCTTTGACCTAACTACCTAAAAACCAAAAACACGATACATTAAAAATTAGATAAAAAAACTACAACAACACACACACACACATAAAAATGACAACACGTGTGCCAAGTTTATGATTTTACGATAAAACTTGCTACCACTTAGTGCCGCTTCAAAGTTCATTGAATTTTCAAGATACCTGTAATTCGCCTCGTGCTTCTAATTCGACTACCGTATAGTTTTTTTTTCCCGTCTAAAGATTTGACATGAACCTCGAAACTAACTAATTAAACATACTTCTCTCTGTCGAATCTAGCGAAGAGATAATTGTTTTGATTTATTTTTAAAGATAGGAGCGCTTCAAATGGAAATGACACCGAGTACGGAGATGCGTGTTACAGTTGCTGGCAATGCAAAAAAACGCTGAGCACGTTCGATCATTGTAATTTTATTATACTACAGCGGCCGTTGAGACTGTACAAATGGCCGACAAGAACGCGGAAGAACAACACACGTAAAGCAAGATAAGTGTGAACCTACCAGGCCACATACTGCGTTTTTTGAACTATCGGTGTCTTCAGCTTATGTAACTACGACAACCATTCTCTAAAAACATGTGCGAGTTCACTTGTCTAAAACATACAAATACGACCGACCAATCACGACGAGAACACTAGATGGATTCCAGCGATGAACGAAGAAGGGCAGAGTACGGTTAGACTTGCACACAAAATGCGATGTGCGTGTTTTCATAATGTTTGAACTCTAATTGAATTCCTTTCCATAAACAGCGTACAATTAATACAGAAAAGGAAATAGTGACCTTAGTATTCATGCGTGAAGCAACAACTTGTGACGATGGAAAACTTCTCTTAGTTTATAAATATGGCACTCTTTTTATCCGTTTCATAAGACGAAGATAGCACAGGTTCGTATTATATAACTGCGACGCTGAAAAGGAAAATGTGAACAAAAAACATTCAGGGTTGAGCCATGGCGCTCTTGTTTTCTGTATATACTGTTCTTGTATTACTCTTGAAGAATGTAAAAACTAAAAAACAAAAAAACCAAAAAAAAAAACCGGAAGAATTCGTTGTAAGCCTCGTCGTTGAACGACGGCAGGGGTTTTACTGAGCAAAGCGAAGCGGAACATCAAGCGCAGCATTGGGAGTCCCTACAACACTTTTTTGTATTGTTCTTTGACCTGACATTTGCCGTTTACATCTCTGGAAGTGCATCTGGTTTGATGTCTGCGCTTCCAGACAGGCATATATGAAGTTAGCAAAGCCGGTTTATGAGAAAGGAACAGTTTGTGAAAAGTAAAAAGGCGACTGAAACCCGTCGTTTTCTAAACTGTGTTTCTTGCATATCTCCCGCTCCTCGCAACGCAGATACTCGAAAGGCCTGTTGTCCGAGGTCTACTTCAGGCCGTACGTGCACATAGGGCCGTACATTGTGGGCTCTCTCGTGGCTTACATGTACCTCAAGCGAGATAAGATCCACATCTCACCGGTAAGTACACTTTGGAACCGGGCCACGAAACTCGCTTAAGAAATGCCATCTGCTTGTCAAAAAAGAAAACCGTGTTTTTTTGTTTTCTTTTCCGACGAAAACACGCCTCGCATCCTCTAGCTCCGAGCCTCCGCGCAAATATAGACCTTTCCATCCTCCTCCGCATGGGCGCTGCCATCTTGGAATCACGTGACGCGGCAGCCATTAGGTTGCTTCAACTTGCTGCTCCGCTCTCCCCTCTGCGCCTTGGCGGATGTGTTGTATTCGTGTTTTTCATCGCGTTTCACTGCGCTTGCTTGCCTTACTTCGGAAACTGTAGTTTCCGACGACTTCTGAGGTTCGTTTACTAATAGTGGCGGAAGATTCTATAAGAAGCGCGTATATTTATATCGCGCATTTAGGATCGCAAGGCGTCAAGAATAGTCAGCACAAGGAGACTATTTGTATTCCCTGAAAGTATAGTTCTTTGTATTCATGATATATCGAAATGAGTTTTTGATTGTGTGAGGAAACTCGCAGAGGAGATAGACAACGAACGTTGAACTTGTACGTTGAATTTGTATTTTATCTGAGGCTAAAAGTAATGGTACGTCAACATCAGGCGATTTGTTTGTTCATAACATCACACCTACATGTGTATGAGGTTCTCAATCTCTTTTTTGCGACGTAGACATTCGGTTGGTCGGTTTACTTATGAAGTTTAAGAAATTGTATACCAGGCTCGCTTCCATTTAGACAGTCATTTAAATGATTTATTGATTACATTTAGATAACCAATGCCCTCCACTTAATTTAATTAACACAAAGGTTGGGACCTCCCGCGTAAGGAACTGCCACAACACTAAACAGTAGCGAGTTTTAGAATCGCGTGCACAAAGAAATAACGTCGTTTCTCATCGCAAATCCAAAACGCGGTTTGGGTTCGGCGCTTGCACAATGATGACTACGCTTTTTTTTTTTTTTACTTACGTTGTTTTATCTTTTGCCAGTATCTAAAATCCGCAATAATTGACGCCCCCCTCCTCCACCCCCCCCCCCCCCCCCAAAAAAAAAAAAAAAAGAAAAACAAAGAAGAGAACCGTCTGCAGAACAATTATTTGAGTCCAGGATTGTCGATTGCGAATAGAGGTTTACTTTTTGTGGCTGACTACGCCGAAATTTACAAAGCGAATTTGTTCTAAGAAATAAATATTTGTTCACACAGGTCTGTGAAGTGGTGCCTAGCACTAGAATTCAGCAAAACTTTCCGAGGTATTTCTCCTCCTGCATCATTTATTTTATTTGGCTAATATTAAGGTAGACAAATGCCATATTTAATTTGACGGGCCTGTCACTTATATCATATCCTGAGTAAGTGAATGTCCATATAAAAAAAAAAGTATTTTCTAGGGCAAATATCGCGAAATGCTGCTTATGAGTACTAAAAAAACAGGCCGACACGATATTATTTGTTTATATCAATTATCAGCGTCATTACACGATACGTTTTTATTCTGCGAAGTTCGCTAAAGGTTGGGTGCGCAAGAAAACCTAACAGTGAGTTGTAAACTCGCGAGTTCATCTGTTCTGGCCGATTTAGAACATTGCTAACCAAGCTGTCGATATGCTTCCCCCCTTTACATTCACATGTTACTCTCTTTATTAGTATTTCTTTTTTCTGGAAACTGGTGTCATCGGGTACGGCCATACACGATGACATTCTTCCCTGTACATCAGTCAGGCGTTTCGCAACCGGCCATAATCAGGTACATCAAAGGAGTTGGTAAAAAAAGCCCACAATTTTAGCTAAAATGCACCTCGTAGTCATCAAAGTGGCTCAATACTACTGTTTCAGTGGTTGTGTGCTGCCAGGAAAATAATCGTATCACAAAATTAAGCAAAAACAACGCAAAACAGCAACATAGCCGCGTTCACGTTGAAACCGAAACCAACCAAATTGAAGCAACCTAATGGCGCCGAGTGCGTCAGCGCCCTCTGTCCGCCGGTGAGGCAACTTCTAAAATGAAAAGGTCTATATATTGAGCGGGTGGGACCAGATACGGCAGTCTCTTAGCTTACAATTATTTAATTCGAGGTTATAGGCCATTTTCGAAAATATTCAACGGAAAAATGACGCCCTTTGTCGGGAACAGGCCTCATTTCTGGTTTGTGTTATTATCAAAAACCGATTAACCGTATAAGCGTCCGTGGAAGGTAAAATATTTCTTAAACACGTAGAGTCGTGAAAAAAAAAAATGTCACTGTCTCGATCATTCCAGCATGCCCAGGAAGCACGGAATGGTATCGTTCGGGCATTCTGCGTGCGCACTGCTCGGTCACGGGGAGCTTAGGGTGGTTTCAGACGCTTTGCGCGCACAACGCACTCGTTTCTTCCCGGGTTTATCATAATTTTCGAGATACTTTTAAATGTATTTAGGAAGAAAGCGTTTAAGGACTATACTTAGATAAGAAGTTTCGGTGAGCTCTGCTCTTTCCAAGTGTACGTGTATAGGTCAACGAGCTGTTTACAAACAAACCCACACGAAGTGCTGGAAACGCGCAGAGTTTTAACACTAGGTGCGCGCATTGCGCGTGCGCGGTGACCAGATTCGCACGAGGTGGAATTTCTGCGCATGCGCAGCTTTGCAAAAATCGCCTTCTGCGCGCTGCCATCTTTGTCTGCTGGGATGTGGAACGCCTTTTGTGCATGCACTGTTGCTCTGATGTGCGGTATATCTGGCCCTGCGCATCCGTCCGCAGCTCAGTGACTCAGCATTTTTCGCCCGGGTGATGAGCGATGCAAATGTCTATACTCCGTTTCGCGACCATATATAAAAGCTTTGGAGCAAAGCACGTAACGCCACGTCACGGCAGCGTTTGTGTCAGTGCGCCAAAAGCGATGCCCGGAGGAACCGGTTGTCGCCAGCTGGCCAAGAGTAGTCTGCCGCGAAATCGACCGACTTCGGACGAACGTCCACCTCCGCAACCCTGCCGTCTGCTAGAGTTTCGAGCTCTTCGGGAACAGTCCATGAAACAAGCATACGTTCACATTATTTTTTTATTTTTATTTATATATTCATTTAATATTACTACCTGGCCCATACAGGGACGTGGTAGGGGAGGCACAGCAATGCAAAGAAAGTTCAACAGATTTGAACATTGATGAAGACAAACGGCACTGAGATATTGCATCAAATAATGAACACCCGATATACAAGGCGGGGCGCAACAATGCGAAGAAACTTCAACACATTTGATCATTGATGAAGACAAACACGGCACGGATATATTGTATCAAATAATAAACACCCGATATTTAAGGAAGTGACAAAATAAAAGTCGAAAAACATTTTATTTTGCAAAGTGAACAGTGGCTGTATAATGTCAAACAAATCTGAATTTGCCAAGTCAGCAGTTAACCTGTTCCATACAACGATTGATCTGGGGCAAAAAGAATATTTGAATGTGTCCAGTTTTACTTGGTAACCTCTTATTGATCGTGCATGAGATGATGTAGTGTTTATTCTTTACGAAAATCGTATGTAGTTTGTAGTCTGTTTAATTTGCCATAAATCATTAAAAATGAAATCGTTAGTATATCTATTCATGCCCGTTCCCTTAATGTAAGGGGGTTTGCCTGTTGCAACATTGCTGAGGGAGAACTTAGCGGGTCATATTTTTTGTATGTGAACCTTATCGCTTTTTTGTGTGTGTGCTTTCTAGCTAAATTACAATAGTTTTAGTGAATGGGTCCGTCACCACATTTGCATATTCTGAGATTGGTTGTATAAAGTTTTGTAAACAGTAAGTTTTGTGTCGCCCTGGTAATAATACCGTGAATCTGGAATTTGTGGCGGGTCCTATTGCCGGGGCGATGTTTTGAGCGGAGGTGGTCGCATACACGGCTGCGATCGTTTAATAAGCGTTCAAAATCCACGTTGTTCTAGGGAAAGGGTTGATCCGAATTAAGTATCGTTGGAAAATAACATGTCTTCGACTTTCTTCCTTGTCGTGTGGTGTGGTGGTCAGAAGAGTTTGTGCTGAACGCGACCTAAGTGGAAGAAGTTTTTATCATAATAGTCGCACCTGTGCACCACGTAGGTGTATATTACAACGCTTACCCGACTACTTTAAGTGTCTGGTCGGTTGGATGGTTCAACTGCGGATCAGATGTCCGCCGTGTCGGAAGTTGAAATCACTTGACTCTTTTTGTTTTTACTTTTTACATTTTATATTTAAAGTTGTCAGAAAGTTATGTCATTCTCCGGCGATATTTCCGATGTTTTGGGTTGTAAGAATACAAAAACGTTCTCGTGTTTTCTTTTTCTATTAATGTTGTTTTTACAAACGAACGAGGTCGGTCTGTAGAAACTATTTTCGTTCCGAAGCCCTGCTTTTATTATTGTTTGGTAAAGTTACAACCATTCTAGCAATAAAAATCACAGCAGAAGACTGGTAAATATCGACAACTTGCGGGAGAGAGATTTCCTTTTTTTATTTTTGTGGTAACTTGACTATGACTTGCAGAACAAATTTGAACTGGAGAGTATCTAGAATGTAAGGAGTTACTTTTTGCATCTAGTACAGTGCTCGGATACCTTTGAGAGTTGAGTATGTCGGCCTTTTTTCTCAATAAGTCAAATCCACATAAAGAGAAGCAACAGAAATGTATGCTTATCAGATTACTTAGTAACCCTGTATCGGAGCCGTCTGTACAGTGTTTTTCTCGCATCGAGTTACCTATTCATCCTGATGGCTTATGGGGAAAAAACACTCCCAGATATACTCCGAAGCTCCAGTAAAAAATTAACTTAGTTTAGGTTTTGTATCTGGCTCATTTCCAAAACTGAAGAACCCAAATTTAGTTCTCTACTGAGTTACTAATTTACTGGCACTCGGTGACCTATTAAAATATTAACTACAGTATTTAATTAGAGTATGCGTTTGAGGCATGCACTTATCAGCGAACAAGAGACACGGCCGGCATTGTACAAGTACCATCCCGTTTTCAATATGTTGGT